CCGTAGCGTTTGCGCTTGCGCGGTGGACGCGCTCGCACGTTGAAGCTTGCGTCCCCTCAAGGCGCGCGCTGCCCTAGAGAAGCGGCTGCTTTCTCACTCGCGTACGCCGCGCGCCAAATCCAACATGTGCGCTGTTTCTTTCGGAAACCCTTTGGGCGTTGTACCAATGAGCATCGCCTGGGGTTCCCCGCTTTTGAATCGATGACACATCGCCCCATGGCAAAACACGCCTGGCAAAAATCAATGCCTCGTGGAATTCTGAATATTGCAAAGCAGCCGAATGCAAAACAGGCCGTGCAAAAGTCAGTGCTCAGCGGAATTTTGAAAATTTCAAGGCGCTTCGTCTGTCAAATTCGTTTTTTTGTGTTTTCATTCCGCGGGCCAAGAAGTTAACAGCCATGGCCTGCTAATGGTCGCTGTAGGAGACCCCCTCACTAAGGTAAACCCTTCCCCGAAGGGGAAGACGGAGGTGTGGAAGAGGAAATTCCCTGAACCACCGACGCCCAGAGGGCTGGTGGGATTTTTGTTGGCCCTCCGCGCTGATTTCTCGGATCCGCGCTGAACCCCCTGGCGGCGCATCCGGCGCCGCCCCTGGCGCGCTCCGCGCGCCAGGGAGGGGGTTTTGGCCCAGATCCAAGAAATCCGCGCGGACTTCCAAACGTTTATGTTTATGGTTATCCTCTATTGCGAAGACCTTGCGGCAGGTGCCGCCGACCCTACAGGACGACGACGACGAAGAGGTCGCGGCGACGTTCCTTCTTCTCCTCGGGTGCCCAATCCGACCATCCGTTTCCTTTTCCCGTTGCGCCGCCCCTTCTCGCGCTCTCGTCCCTCTGCTCCCCATCACTTTCCCTTGCCCATCTGACCCACCCGAACCCTACCTTCGCATTATGATGTTCCGACCTATTTTAACATTGATCATGAGAAAGAACGTCGAACACCAGGAAAGTACCCAAACTGCAGGGTTTTGACTTGTCGGACCCCAGGAGGCGATTTTCGTATGTCATTTCGCTAACGTGTCGGGCAGACACTGTTTCGATACTTTTCTGGGTGCTCGAAGTTATGGCTCGGATGTGGTTCTTACGTTCGATGGGAGCAACATAGCATTCGGACATGATGCGGAGAGCGGGGACTCGCTCCATCTCCTCCTTCTCCTCCTCCTCCTCCTCATTCTCTTCCCCCTCCTAGCGCCGCAAAATGCCGCCGAGTGAGCACTTCGCGGGCTGGCTCTCGTCAGAGGAGGAGGAGGAGGAGGAGCAGCAGGAGGAGGAGGAGGTAAAGGAGGAACACACACACACACATCAATGAACAGACGCGGGCAAGGAGGAGGGAAAGGATCGTTAGGGGCAGCGCAGAGCAAGCGGGCACGAATGAGCGGACGGGGGGGCGGGCTTGGGATGTCGTTGGTAGTTCATCCTCCTCCTCCTCCTTTTCTTCCACCTCCATCCCTTCTCCTTGTGAATAATTCCTGCGTGTCGCACCCCGAGGCGTGTCGAAAGGGCGTGCTGGCCGTTTCGCCTCAGACTTCTTCACCACGCATGGCTTTGAACCTGAGAGTCTGCAAAGAGTGTCACGGATGGAGGGCTGCCCGAATTCAACATGTAGTTCCACATTCGTCTTAAAACAATGCGCGATTTTCACGGCTGGAGGGCGTGGCGATTTCACATGTGGTTCCCGTTTTAGCGCATCGCACGTTCATCAAAGTATCGAATTTCACGGATGGAGAGCGTCCAGTGTTCAAAATTTGGCTTTCGTTTAGGGCCGCCCACATTCGTCTTCAAACGTTTCAAGAGTTTCACGCAGGGCGGGCAGGTTTCAATGTGTGGTTCGCGTTTTCGCGCCGGTTACGTTCGTTACCAAATTCACGAGTTTCACGTATGAAAGGCGGGCCGTTTTCACAATGTAAAGAGTTGTAAGAATTTTGCGGAGGGGGGCGGCCGTTTCATCGTTTTTGCTTCCGCGCCGCGCATCGTCGTTTTAGAATGCAAGAGTTTCACGGATGGAGGGGCGGCTCCTTTGAAAATGCGGTTATCGTTTCAGCGCCGTTCACATTCGATGTAAGTGTTGCATAGCATATTCAAGCTTAAGGATTCTCACGGCGAGCGTCCCAGACATGTAGCATTGACACGATGTCGGATTGTTGGGGCGCAGCAGTTTCGTTGATTCGGCGCTGACGTGCAAGGAATGGTGTTTTGGCGCGATTCGGGATCGCCAAGACGCAACAGTAGCGGTGATGCGCGACGTTGAATTCCCAGGGGTGATTTTTGCCACAGTTCAGGAGTTTTCACGGGTCACTTCTTCCAGTGCAAATGAACATGTTTAGGGCCCTACGACGAGGGCATCTGGAGCGAGGGTGTATTGCAATATCGTTGATGGGTCTTGGGTTTGCTCTGGTCCTCCACCTCCTCCTCCCTCCTTCTCCTCCTCCTCATCCTGTCAGGCTGTGTCGGCAGCGCGCAGCCGACTTTCGGGGCTCGACGGGTCCTTGGGCCCCGCTGCGACCTGTGCACGGCCGTAGCTCTTTTCCTCTGGGCCAGTGCCTTTCGAGGGTTTGGCTTCGCCGACAAACCGATCCGCATCTGCAGGGCTGGACGGGGAAGCGAGGGTGAGGAGGGAGGAGGTCCTCCTCCTCCTCCTCCTCCCTCTCCTCCTCCTCCTCCTCCTCCTCCTCCTCCTCCCCCCCTCCGCCTCCTCCTCGTCCTCCTCCTCCTCCCTCTCCTCTTCCCCCGCCCTCTCCTCCTCCACCTCCGCCTCCTCCTCCACCTCCTCCTCCTTCTCCTCTCCTCTTCCTCCTTCTCGAGGGCGTCTAGGCCCTTTCCCGCCGCTGAGGCGGCAGGCGGACTTCGTCCGCCCGACCCCACACCACACCACACCTCTTCCTCCTCCTCCTCCTCCCCTCCTCCGCCTCTCCTCCTCCTCCTCCTCCTCCTCCTCCTCCTCCTCCTCCTCCTCCTCCACTCCCTCCTCCTCCTCCTCCTCCCCCCCCCCCACGCTTCCCGCACCATCGCAGGCAGGAGGGCCCTCGGGCACCTCCTCCCCGAGAGGCCCAGGAGGCAAATGAAGGGCGAGCCCTGCGCGCGTCTGCGGATCTAGGGTCCTCGACTGCCGAGGGTGCCGGGTGGCCTGGTAGCGCTCGGTCGTGATCATTTTTTCTCGGCGAGGGCCATCGAAGAGCATATAGCCTTGTGGAGGACCGTCAATGGAGAAGAAGTATGTTGCCAAATAGTTTCCAGATGTCTGAAGCATGTGTTAAACATGTTTTAAACATTCAAAAACTATGTTCAGAACATGTTCAGAACACTTTCCGACATTTTAAACACATTTTAAATCCAAGGATAGGATTGTTAGGGTGTCCATTGTCGTGGCATCCACAAGTATGGGATCATCTGACGAAAAAACAAATACGCACGATATCGAAACATGCGCGGGGAATTGGCGTCCGGGCGATGGCGAGGTGGTGGCGGCGGTGGGAGTGGGGGGCGACGCTCGGGGGGGATCTGCCCATGGAGTGTTCCAGGAAACGAGCACTGACATGAACATAAGCTTTCGGAGGTACGCGCGGATTTCTCGGATCGGCGCTGGGCCCCCCTGGCGGCGCCTCCGGCGCCGCCTCTGGCGCGCTTTGCGCGCCAGGGAGGGTGGTTCAGCGCCGACCCGAGAAAACCGCGCGGACTTCCGAAAGTTCATGATTATGTCATTGCCAGTTCCCGGAGTGTTCGACCGTGTGCCCAAGTGTTCTGACAGTTTCGGGGCCTGGGGCTGGCTTCCATCAGCTGCGCCTCGTAGAGAGCGTTCGGAGGGGGAGGCGCCTGGGTCGTCGGGGGCGCCTGGGTCGTTCGTCGAGGGCGTTCGGAGGGGGGGGCGCCTCGTCGAGAGCGTTCGGAGGGGAGAGCGCTCGGAGGGGGGGGGTGGCGCCTGGGTCGTCGGGGGGCGGCCGAGCCGTGACCCGAAAAAGCCAGGGGCACTGCAGGGTGGGGCACGGGCCCGGGTGGGGCTGCATCGGCCTCCGGTCGCCCGTGCATCGCCGATGAGGGCCCGATCGGCCTGCCCCACTCAGGAGCGTGCGGTTTCGCCATCGGGGGCCGAGGTTTCCCCTGCGTTTTGAAGGCAGCCTCCCTCCGTCTGTCGAGCTCGTAAGGAAGGTAACCAGGCGGGGTCTTGATGTCCAAGGGAGTGCTCAGCGGAAGGCCCGCTTTGAAAAGGAGCCGGCCTGCATCCGCGTACTTGAATGTTGCGCAAGTGACAGATCTTGGTCATCGAATCGAGCGGAGTCTTGGGTGAGAGCTCCAGTTCCAAAAGGAACCGTTCTCCATACGGGCAATCGTTGCACAACGTTACACTTGTTGTGCGATTCGTTTGTAGAAATTTCAGCCGAGTGCCCCAATGTGAACATGTGCAGGCCTGCACCCGTGTAATTATCGGATGGTTGTTTAAGACTAGTGTATGTGTGTTGCGCGCGGTGCCAAGGCGAGAGCAGTATTCGGAAAACGATTGGCCTTCCATCCGTGTAACTGTCGGAAGCTTTTCAGGCGGTTGTGCGCGATGCTCAGGCGAGAGCCTTTTTCCGAAATCCACAGGCCTTCCATCCGCGCCATTGTTGCAATGCTTAAAGTCTCTGGGCAAAAAATCGCAAGGAAGTCTCAGGCGAAACGCCCAGTCCAGCCTACGGACACCCCTGGTGGCGCGACAGGGAGGAGCAGGGGTTGAGGATGGTACAGGCGGAGAACGATCGAGGATGCAGAGAGAGGGGGGCGGAGAGACCGACGACGACGCTGCTCCGCCCCCGCCGCCATCCCTCTCCGACACCTGCATGAAGGTCGTCAAGCCGCCACCGAGGCCCTCGAGAATGGAGGATGGAGGAGGAGGAGGAGGAGGAGGAGGAGGAGGAGGAGGAGGAGGAGGAGGAGGCGGAGCAAGAGAGGATGAAGGAGGCGACGGAGGAGGAAGACGACGGCGCTGCTCCTCCCCTTTCGCCACCCCTCTTCGCCACCCGCCCAGAGGTCGTCAAGCCGCCGCCGAGGCCGGCGCCCAAGCGGGCCCGTCTGGCGGCAGGTCGGGCTTTCGCGAGGATCTCCCGCCGGCCGACCGGACATCGACCCAGATGGGGATCAGGGCAACAAATGATGTGGTTCGGTGGTTCAAGGATGGGGTCCTGAGGGATGGGGTCCAAGAGGTGCGTCAACCAATGTAAATCCATCATTGGCTCCCTTCGAAAGAGCGCGCTCGTGGCGCACTTCTCACTAAAAGGAGGGCCCCAGCTTCAAGCTACCCCCCCTCCCTTGGAAAAGAGGGGATTGGCTTCCGAAGCTACCCCCCTCTCCCCCTCTGTTGTGGGTACGCTCTAGCTGGGGGGGGGGCCATAGCTAACGGGGGGGTGGCCTCCCCTTCTTTGGGGCCCCGGGATCAGCCCGGGCCCCCCTTTCCAAGGGGAGGGGGTCTTCCGAAGCTCCCTCCCCCTTCCTTCTGTTTGGATGTTGTAGCTGGGGGATCCCTGGCTGAGGGTTTCCACCGCCCTCTTGGGTTCTGGCGCTCCTTTGATTTTGGGGGCCCTCTTGGCTTTCGGCGTTTTGTTGTTTGCCGGCGCCCTTTTAGTTTTCGGTTCCGTTTCGGTTTTCGGGTTTTCGGCGCCCTTTGGTTTTCGGCGCACCTTTGGTTTTTGGGCGCCCTTCAGCTATTTACGCGCCTTTCGTTTTTTGGCGCCCTTTGGTGTTCGACGCCCTTTTGGTTATCGAAGCGTCTTTGTTTTTTCGAAGGCCCTTTTGGCTTTCGGCGCACTCTTTATGGTTTTCGACACCATTTATTTTCTTCGCCCCTTTGGTTTGCGGCGTTCCTGCAGTTTTTCGCCCCCCTGTGGTTTTCGGCGCTCTTTTGGTTTCGGCGCTCTTTGGTGTTCGGCGCCCCTTTGGTTTGCGCGTCCTTCGGCTATTTGCGCGCCTTTCGTTTTTGGCGCCCTTTGGTTTTCGGAGTCCTTTTGGCTATCGTTGCGTCTTTGTTTCTTCGGCGCCCTTTTGGCTTTCGGCGCACCTTGTATGGTTTGTGGCGCCATTTATTTTCAACGCCCCTTTAATGTGTGGCGTTCCTACTTTTTATAGCCCCCCTGTGGTTTTCGACGCCCTTTTGGTGGGCGCCCTTCGGCTACCTGCGCGCCTTTCGTTCTTGGCGCCCTTGGGTTTTCGACGCCTTTGTGGTTATGTTCGCGTCTTTGGTTTTTCGGCGCCTTGGTGGCTTCCGGCGCATCGTTGGTTTTCGCGCCTTTTTCGGTTGTCGGCGCGCTTTTGGTTCTCGGCGCCCCTTTGGTTTTCAGTGCTCCATTGAGTTTCGGTGCTCCTTTTGTTTTGCGCGCCGTTTTGGTTTTCAACGCCGTTTTGGTTTTCGGTGCCCTTTCGGTTTTCGGCGTTTCTTTGGTTTTCGGCGCCCTCTGGTTTTCGCACCCTTTCGGTTTTCGGTGCTCTGTTGGTTATTGGCGCTCTTTTGGTCTTGGGCTGTCTTCCCTTTAGCCAAAGTGGGTGGGGGCTTCCAAGCCCCCCGCCCCCTTTGGCCCCAAAGGGGGGGCTTCCGACAGGGGAGGCTCAACGGGTGTGTGTGTGTGTGTAGCTAAGCCCCCCCCCTTTGGAAAGGAGGGGGGGGGCAGCTTCAGGAGCGCGAAAGGGACGAGGGGGTAGTTTCCGAGGGGCGGAAAGCTAAGAAATACAGAAGGGTGGGGGGGGGGCTTCAGGCAGCGCAGGTCCAAGAGGGGGGGGTGCCGAGGGGAACCCCCCCTTGGGGAGTGCGCCACGGGCGCGCTCTCTCAAACCCGAGCTATCCTCAGGACCCCATACCTCAGGACTCCATGTTTGAGCCACCGACTGGTCACCCGTCGGGTGGCGCACAGACGGTGCCCCCGGGCAATCCCTGCTGGCCTCAACCGGCCCCCCCCCGAGTAATCCCAGCTGGCCTCAACAGGCCCCCCTCCCTGTGGGCGCTGTCGGTGCGCAACCCGAAGCCTTACCGCAGGGTAACAGGCAACATGTGACGCTTTTATCGGTCGACGTCTACTTCTGTAGGTTCGTGTCGTGTCGACGCGGCAGCGACCCCGCCGGGGGCGTTCACGGCTGAACGCCGACGGTGGCTCAGGATCGTCTAGTCCGGAACGACCTGTCAATCGAGAAGCCGCCGATTGGTCCATGCTGAACGATCCACGCGGTGTCAGAAACCAGCGCCGGGGTCGGCACGCCACGAAGCCGCCTTGCTGTTTTTGAAGCCCCCTATCCGAGGAGTGGTCCCCCCCTTCCTGCGACCGTGGTGGAGAATCGATGTGCCCCCCCTGGCGCCGCTCCCGCCGCAAAGCGGTGGGCATAGGCTGTCGTGGGTTCTGTCGCCCACGCGCAGGCAGCTTCCTTTCAGAAGCCGGCAAGTTTGCGTCTTGGAGGGGTGGGGGCGTGTCGAGGGCCCGAAAGGGCATCTGGATTTTGAGCAAGTCGGGACTCACGCGCACGCCTTTTCGGCCCAGCGTTGCCTGAAAGGGCAGCGGCGTGGGGGGCGGCGGTGGGGGAAATGCCATGCACGCGGAGTTGCCGGGGTCTGAAGCAAATGCAGCCTCCGGGAGTCCTCACTTCGGGCCCCTTGACCCTCGCGGATCGATCCGGCTCTAAACATGCTCCAGAAAGACAGGGTCAAAGCTCCGGTCGTGATTTTTGTTGCGATGTTGTCATTGCTACTTTGTGGCAACGTCGGATCTCAGGGTATTGTTGATCCCCCCCTTGGTGACCATGGTTTTCAATCATTAGTTCGGAACGAAAGAAGAGTACTCACGCGAGTCTGGTGCGGCGGCCGTGTGCGGAGGACCTTGTGCGCCTTGAGCGGGGATCGTGCGAATGCCCTCGGGATTGGATCCGCGCGCGCGCGTGCTCGTGCGGGAGGAGGAGGCGCAGGCTCAACACGACAGACGCGGAGCCCTCCGCACCCTCTGCGCGCCTGGTGCGCCGGCGCGCGCCGCCACTGCTTTCCTCCCTGTGGGAAGCAGGGCGGGGCCCAAACGGTGTTGTGGCGATTTCGTGGGCCGTTTTCGTTTCTATTTCGTCTTGCGGTAGAGGTGGACTGAAGAGAAGACGAGGGAAAACGAACGCAAAACGACAACGAAACACATTGTTTAGGTTCGGCCCGGGTTGGAAGCGCAGGATTCCCCTGCTTGGGGTGTGGGGGGTCCCTTGGGTTATGATGTCCCAACCTAGTTTAGCCTCGATCACCAGAAAGAAGTTCGAGCACCAAAACAAACGCGAAACTCCACGGTTTTCACGCGTCGGGCCCCGGGAGAGACGCTCCTCTGGCCCTGTTTCGACGCTTTTTCGACACCCGTTGCACACTCTTTCCGGGTGCTCGACATGATTCCTGGGAGGTGGCCCTCGAGCACGATGGGAGCAACGTCGCCCCTGGGCCGCCAGGGGTGCCCATCGTGGGTGCCGCCCGGTGGCTCCGAGGCCGGCCCCCACCACGCCGATCACCCTGGAGGTGCTGCAGGCGGGCCGTGGGGCCGGGAGGAGAGGGCCGCGCACGGGGACACGGAGAGCGTCGGCAGCCGAGCACGGGGAGCCGGGGGGGGGCCCCTCGCAGTCTCGTCTTTGGCGTCTCTCACCAAGCGCGTTCCGCTACTGTTTGTGTGCGGCGATCAATCTTGAGAGGAAGCATGTTGCCCATTAGTGTCCAGATATTTCAAAATGTGTTAAAGGTGTCTGCAACATGTACAAACATATGTTTTAAAACCTTTGAGAGAGCGTGATCCACCGCCGCTTTACTGTGGGAAATTCCCCCCCTCTTCCTCCGGAACCTGGGGGCCCCCCCCCTTCCGAAAATCCCCCCCCCCTGCCTTGGGCTGCTGGACCCCCCCCCTTCCTCCCGGCAACCTCCCCCGCTCCCCCCCTCCGGAGAACTGCGGGGGGTGACTACCGGTTCGAACCCCCCACCCCCCCTCCGGAAAACCGAGGGGGGGTCACTACCGGTTCGAACCCATCCCCCCCCCCCAGAAAACCAGAGAGGGGTCACTACCAGTTCGAACCCCCCCCCCTCCAGAAAACCGGCGGGGGTCACTACCGGCTCGAACCCCCCCCTCCACGAAAACTGGAGGGGGTCACTACGGGCTCGAATCCCCCCCTCTCGAAAACCGAAAACCGGCGGGGGGTCACTACCGGTTCGAGCCCCTCCCCGCCTCCCCCTCACCCTCGAGAACCAGGGGGGTCACTACAGGTTCGAACCCCCCCCCCTCGAAAACCAGGGGGGGTCCCTGCCGGTGCGAACCCCTTCCCCCCCCCCGTGCTCACCGCCAGCACACAACTCTGGGTCCCTCCACCACCGTCCGCACCACATCCCCCACTGCTGTCCCCAGCATCACTGTCCTCACCACCACTGTCCCCACTGTTCCCACCACCGTCACCACTGTCCTCACCAGTGCCCCCATTACTGTCGTACTGTCCCCACCACTGTTCCCACCACGGTTCCACTCTCCCCAATTTCTCCACGGCCCCAACTGTCCCACTGTCCCCACTGTCCCACTGTCCCCGCCGCTGTCCCACTGAGCTGTCCCATTGTTCCCACCATGTCCCCACTGTCCCCACCACTGTCCTTACTGACCTCTGTCCCATTATCCCACCGCCGTCCTCGCCACCGCCCTCACCACTGTCGCCACCACCACGTACCCTCCACTGTCCCACTGTTTCCACCACATTCCCACTGTCCCCACACCACTGTCCCCACCACCACTGTCCCCACCACTGTCCCACTATCCCCACTGTTCCCACCATTGTCCCCGCTGTCCCCACCAGTGCCCCCCACCAGTGTCTCACTGTCCCCACTCTCCCCACCATTGTCCCACCACTGTCCCACTCTCCCCACTTTCCCCACGGTCCCCACCACTGTCCCACTGTCCCCACTGTTCCCATCACTGTCCCACTGTCCCCGCCGCTGTCCCACTGTGCTGTCCCCCACCGCCCCCATTGTCCCACTGTCCCCACTGTCCCCACCACCCTCCCCACCGTACTACTGTCCCACCACTGTCCTCACCACCGCCTTCACCACTGTCCCCACCACTACCGTACCTGTCCCCCCACTGTCCCGCTGTCCCCTCACCACTGTCCCCACCACCACCGTCCCCACCACTGTCCGCACCACTGTCCCACTGTCCCCGCACCACTGTCCCCACCACCACCGTTCCCACCACTGTCCCAACATCCCCACCATTCTCCAACTGTCCCGAGGAGCGGGCATCGTTTCGTTTGCTGGCGGCGAGGGTGGGAGGGGGGGTTCGAACCGGTAGTGACCCCCCCCCCGGTTTTCGTGGGGGGGAAGGGGGGGTTCGAACTGGTAGTGACCCCCCCCTGGTTTTCGAGGGGGGGGGGATTCGAACCGGTAGTGACCCCCCCCTTTTCATGATGGACTGGGGGTGGGGGGTTCGAAACGGTAGAGACCCCCCCCCCGGTTTTCGAGGGGATGGGGAGACGGGTTAGGAACCCCCAGTGACCCCACCTTGGTTTTCCGCCAGCAGCGGTACAACACGCTCTTTCAAACCTTTTTCAGAACATGTTTCAAACATGTTTAACACGTTTGTTATGCCATGATCGGATTGTGAGGGTGTCCATCCATTGTCATGGCATCCACAACACTACTCGCAGAGTGCCTACTCGCAAACGTCCGAAAAACACGTGTCTGTTTCGATGCCATTTCTCGCAGAGCCCCCGCGACGGATCCACGCCATTTGCGAGTAGTTACTTCGCAAGTAGCGGAACGCGCTCGCCTAGTCTTTTAGCCTCGATTGGCTTCTAGGAGTCGATGAGGTAGCGCCGCTTTGGCGTCGGCTGGCGTCGGTTAGCGTCGATCTAGCGCCGATGTAGCGTCTATGTAGCGCCGGCTCGTAAGAGCCGACGAGATGGTATGGGAGGCTCCCGCGAGATGCCACTCAAGGGGAGAGGAGGACCGTACACGGACGATAAGTTGGAACCTTGATTTTTCAAATTCTTCGTGGGACCGAACAGGGAGATCCTCTGGGCTCTCTGTTTTTCAATGCGCTGTCCGAAATCATCTTCCCTGCGATACACCTCAAGTTGCAAATATTCACATACGGTCTACAACATTGTTTTTTCTGAATATCGGATGGCACATTTGCGACTCCCTGACGATGTTTAGATGGTTGCCAAATCTCTCAGACTAGTGACGTGTGTGCTACAAGATATGCGTCTGGCGCGAAGCCGCCAAGGCTGGATTAGAGCTTCACCCGGATAAGACAAACATTTAGCACAACCAGAGCGGACGCCGACGAACGACACGCCCCGAATACATTTCTGATCACGCTCGTGCGGTTCGTGCGCGTCCTCTACCAGGCTAACGAGTGCCACATGGTCGTGGGGGGCGCGAGGCACGGCGGCTTCCCCCTGACACGGGGCATCCGCCAAGGCTGTCCTCTGTCCCCGCTCCTCTTCGCGGTCGCCTCGGACGTTCTGCTCCGGCGGTTGCAGCGCTCTTTCCCGAGGGCCTGCATCCGTGCGTTCGCCGACGACCTCGCCATGGTTTTCGCCAGATTCCTCGCGGCTGTCCCCGCTTTGGCCGTCCTGTTCCACGAGTACGCGAGAATCTCGGGGCTGGCTCTGAACTTCGCGAAGACAGTGGTGGTCCCACTCTCTGTCCACCATGCTGACGACTTCCGCCGTTTGCTGACCAGAGCGGCCCCGGCATGGGCAGGAGTAGACATCAGGCTCTGGGCGAAGTATCTGGGCTTCGTCCTCGGCCCTGGCCGCGAGGACAAGTCCTGGGCAGCCGCGCTTCACAAGTATCTCGACCGGGCCAAGCTCTGGGGCGCGACGGGGGCCGGCTTGTGCACTTCACTGCTGGCCTACCAGGTGTTCGTTGCCAGCGTCCTCACGTTCGTCGGCCAATTCGACGCCCTTCTGGATACGTTCGAGGACCACGAGGCCCGGGCGTGCGCGGCGCTGATGCCTGGCCCAGGAGGTTGGATGTCTCCCAGGTGCCTTCGTAGACTACGTGACGTTGGATTCCCCGTTGAACTTCCAGACCTTCGAGCACGGTGCGTTGCCGCTAAAGCGCGAGTCTGTTTGTTCGAGAATCGTCAGCACGGGGGTCTTCGAGTCCAGGAACGCAGCGTGCGGCTTCAACGGGCGATCGCCGCAGCAGCCGGACAGCTGAGCACCCGCACGTGGCGATCTTGGTTGGACAATCTTTTCTTGTTTCAATTGGCGCATGCCGAGGCAGCGCTGAAGGCCGAGTGCGAACGCTCTCCCCGCTCTCCCTCCCTCTTTTCTTCCTCCTCCTCCTCCTCCTCCTCCTCCTCCTCCTCCTCCTCCTCCTCCTCCTCTTCCTCTGTGCCCGATCACGCCGGGTGGCAGGCCAGAGCGACCGCGCTTCTCCGTGCTCGCCCAGATGGTGTTGCTTTCTACCACCTGCGGCGCATGCTGGATAGATGGAGAATGCCAACGCTCCCGGGACGCAGGGTCCACAGGGTTGTGACGACTTTCAAGATTTTGGCGGCACATGCCCCGCCTCGGGTGCTTGCGGCCTCCCCTCGCTCTGTTTGCAACGGTTGGGTCACCACCCGACGGTTTCCGAGGGCGGGGATTGGGCGCTGCATTTTGGGCTGCCCCGCGGGAGAAGACAGCATAGAGCACTACGCTGGCTGCCGGTGTTTTCACCGATTCTGTCAGCGCCACCTCGGTCTCAGCATGCCTCCAAGGCCGCAATGCCTAGAAGACTTTCTGGGCGTAGCCCCCTACCTCCCAGCTCTTCCAGCAGTATGCCCAGCAGGGGAGGTGCGAACAGCATGCACCGTTTTGCGAGCCATAGGTGTTTTCGCGCTGTACCGCGCGCACGGCAGTGCGCGCCACGGTTTGTGGCAGCCTCTCGCTGTGCAGGAGGCTTTTCCGACTTTCGTGAGGAAGGCAACCCGAAGCCACCCCAAGGCGGTTGCTTTCCCCGCACTTGCACGCAGAAGGCCCCGCGGTGCGCAGTGAGGTATCTGTCGCAACGGCGGGCCTGGTTTCTTTTGGATTGGATGTTCCCTTTTCCTCCGCTCGCGCCCCCCCTGCCAGTCTCAGCGCGCGCATGTCATTCGTTCATTGTGCCATCTTCGCTCGTCAGTGTTTATTTATTGGCCCACTCTGTGGTACAGCAGCGTCGCAACATGTCTCCTACTCCTTTCTGCTCCTTCGCCTCGGCTCCTCCCTTCTCCTTCTCTCTCCCTCTCCGGGCAATTCTTTATACATGCGCTTCAGGCGCTCTCGATTGCACCTCTTGCGTGGTATTCCAGTGGCCGTGCCAGCCTCGACGCTAGCTGCACGCAGTTTGCCCCGTCCGTGCGCGTGCTCTCGTGGTGGCTCACGGGGTCGTGGCACGAGATCTGGGAGCCGTAGTTTCGGCCACGTTCGCAGGACAGCCCTGCTACGGTGCCGCGGCGAAGTCATTTTCACTTTCTCTGCACAGGCCAAGGTTTCGCGTGTTGGCTCGCCTATTGCAGGTTGGCCCTCGCGTGGTTCCTGGTTTGCCTCGTGCATCCGGTTGGGCACCACCATTGGCATGTTGGCTTAATGGGAAAAAATCATTTCTGATCACGCTCCTCCTGTGGAAATACTCACGCAAGCTGGGTCGCAGAAGTATTTGGGACGAAAAGTGACATTCCAGAACCCCTACAGCACGGAAGTCGATAATCGCATCGTTGCCGGCTGGAGAAAGTTCTACATGTTGGGGGAAGAACTTACCGGGCGATCGTATTCGCTTCACGGCACGTTTATTTCATGGCACTATCTCTTCATGTGTGATTTACGGTTGTGCTCCTTGGATCTAAAGTTCCGAGTTCGAGCACCGACTCAAACGTATTCAGAGGCATATGTTGCGTATGCCCATTCGTCCCTTACGCCCTCGGGTTACGGACTCAGTCAGTGAGCCTTGGGATATGTAGATCCAAAGAACCACCCACGAAACAGAACGGGTTCTTGACCAAATGGGGATGGGGATACAGGATTGGGCTACCATGCAACAACAAGGGAAGTGGCGCTGGGCTGCCAAAGTGGCCGAGAACAATGGACAGTGGGTCGCAAAGCGCTGATTTGGGACCCGTCATGTTCTTCGCAAACAAGCTTGGCCAAGAAACCGGTGGGCAGGTGACATCATGAAGTACACGAACAATCCGGAATGGTTTGGTATCGCTTCAATTGTTGAGTGGGAGTGCCTTGAGGATGGACTTGTGTTTTTTTTTGTGTCAGAAATTGAATTCTTCAGTGTTTCGCCACATTGCATTTGTAATGCTCCCCGGGGCGCTCCGGCCCCCACCCCGCTAGAGTCCCCTCGTTCGGACTCCTGCGCGCGGGTTCTCTGTTTTCTGTTTTTGTCCGGGCGCGGCAGTGGAGAAGGCATGTGTGGATAGATAGATTCGAGCCCCCAAACCACCACCCATGCTGCACAAGGGCTCCCAGGAGGGCGCGAAGTTATTCGCGCTTCGCGCTTCGCCGTCCTCCTTCCTCCTCCCCCTCCTCCTCGTCCTCCTCTTCTCCCTTTGGGGGGGCGGCGCGAGAGCGCGAAGTTATTCGCGCTTCGCGCTTCGCGCAGCGCGAAGCGCGAACTTAGGAGCCCTTGCGCTAAACGCAACATCGATTTCGGGGGCGGGGGTGTGTTGGACATCTCTCTCAAGTGTGCGAGGGTTCGCATCTGTTGTCCATGCATTGGATCACCAGGATAGGCGCCGCGCGCTCGATCTCGGAGGCCTGGAGGTTGGCATCGGGTCGGCCCGCTCACTCTACTCGCAGCCATCACCTTTGGACCCCCCACTGGCTAGATGCCTACGCGTCATCGTACAATGCCCAGGCATGGCCATTTGGATGCCTAGACATGCCATCCAGGGACGGAGCTGAGCGAAGCTGAGCGGAGCTGAGCGTAGCAGGTCCCTAGGCATGGATGTGTGTTTCCACCGAGGGAGAATTCCGATCTCGGTCACTGTGTTATTGGTCGGGTTTCCTAGGTGGCCGCCGAAAGATTACCACCCGTACCCCGATCTAGGATCATCTTCCCCTGGTGGAAGCAACCCATTGTGCTGGTGTTGGGGCCAGAATCCAAGACCCTTCACATTCGTCAGAGGAGGAACGGTTACCCATCCTGCTACCCTTGCTTCGTTTTCGTTGTTGTGGGCCCTCCTGGGAAGCCCTCGTCGCCACGGCGGGATTCGGTTTGAAGATATGGTCAGAAGCAACCCGGTATCGACGCGGTGGACTCGTTCTTGTGTCGTGCCGAAGGAGAAACATATCGTTCGAAGCCCACGCGGCCGAGGGCGACGAAGAGGAGGAGGAGTAGGAGGAGGAGGGGAAGGAGGAGGATTGTCATGTGCACAAGGGGCCCAAAGGGGCCGAGGAGAATCGACCACGATGGTGCCGAGGCCGATGTGATTATTGTCGCTGTGATACCGTGATGGCGACGATGTGAGGACGATGGTGGTGTCGATCGCAAAAGAAGATCTTGAGCCTACGGGGCCGTGAGGGATCGAGGAAACCGACGATGGGGGGCAGAATGGATGGAGGAAGGGGTGGAGGACGATCGGTTTGCACCATCGAGACCGGGGTGGGGTGGGTCGAGGAGGATCGAGGAGGGATGGATGGGGTAGGGGAAGGAGGAGGAGGAGGAAGAGGAGGAGGATCATCGAGGATCGAGCGAGGATGTGGTGGCTCTTCGGCCTCTTCAATGACCCCGCGCAGACATCTGATACTCTCCCTGGGATACTTGTGCTTTTCCTCAGCCTCTCCCTCGGGCGTCCCTCCGAAATCTGAGAAGGCACACCCGGGGTCAAGGAGGCCCTGCGCACCCTGCTTGTGGCATCTCTATGGCCAAGGCCATGGCAGTACGTACGCTGGCGTTTGTTGACATCAGTCACCGAGCGCGTTCCACTGCCTGCTCGCAAATGTCAGAAACTCACATGTCCGCTGTGATGTAATTGATCGGAGGTCCCCCGCGGCTTATCCAGGCCATTTGCGAGTAGTTACTTTGCGACTACTGGAACGCGCTCGTCTAATCATCATCCTCGTGCTCGTCCTCTTCCCCCTTACGTCACGCGGATCCTCAGGACGCGTGTCGGTTGCGTGTGCGTTTTACCCCGTTCTCAGTCCCGCCGATCGCAAGCAGCCTGCGCCAGCCTCACTGCACCAGCTACGTCGTACTGAAGGGCTTCGGTGCACGAGCACGCGTTGGCGCCAACATAACGTCTGAGGACTGTCGAACTTCGCTCTCCCAGAGGACGGGGAGGGGAAGGAGGAGGAGGCAGAGGGTTGGCTTGGTTTTGCTTGGGTGGGGCTCACCAAAAGCGGAGTCCGACCCTGCGGAAACACGTTAGGTATGAGGAGGAAGACGGGGACGAGCTCGTGCTGACAGAGAGCCTCCTCTCTCCTTTGCCTTCCCAGGGCGAGTGGGTGAACAGCATGGGGGCGAAGATCGCCGTGAACGACACGCTGGCGCTCGCGCTGCCCCTTCCGCTGACCCAGGGCCAGACACCTGTGGCTTGGCAGCATTCGGACGTGTGCATGTTTTCTCGGCGAGTACCAGTGATGTGCATCTGGGATCCTCTTGGGGAAAACACACACGCACGAAATCAAATAATGCGCGGAGAATGGACGTCCGAGCGATAGCGAGGTAGTTGGAGCAGGCAGACCACGAGGAAGATTACCCAAAGTTGGAGCCGTCTGGGAGTTAGAGTCCAGCATTGGTTCTGTCCAGCAGCCAGGGCGGGCAGGTTCGAGGTTCTGGGTTCGGGAAGGTTTTGTCGCCTTGTTCGTCCTCCGGGTGCAGTTTTCGGGCCCCGCGACTGAAAAATAGATGTGGGGTGAACAATCGCACCAGATGATCCCCGAGATGGGGTCCTGCGACCGATTTTGTCCAGGTTCGGCTCCGCCCCCCTCCTGCAAGATTTTCGGGGTCAGCAATTTTGGGTGGCTCTTGTAAGCATTGAGCTCTGTTCTACGAGAGTTCTAACAGACTTCATTGTTGTTCTAAGTTTCTTCAAAGACACTTTGTCATACCTCTATGTGTTTCTCAATCCTTAGCAGGCTCAGCAAGTATTTAGCAAATCTGAGTGGACGTATCGGTCACGTTGGTAAGTAGCCAGTTGAGTGTTTCGCTGGTTATGCGACTAACTTGGTTCTGTTCGAGGAGTAGCGAGTTTGATGTCACTGTACTTACAGTCTCGTATAGGATAAAGATAAGCGAAGCGGTGAGCTATGACTGCTCAGCTCGACTTAGTAATTTGCTCGATCTGGTGAGTCTTGCCTAATTCTCGTCTAAATATGTGGCTGAATATGTTTTACGTCTCTGCGAGATCTATGGACAAGGCTCTTCTACGGTAAGCCTGAGTCTCTTCCTCAGTTGTTGGGTGTTGCCAGAAGGAGGAGTGTATATTATTTTGCCAGACGACCACCCTATGAGGAGTGTCGAATGTTCAAATGTTTGGTTCATGTGTGCCACCTTTTGGCTGCGCACGATGTCATCCCCTAGTTGCGCAACGTTACAAACAATATGTGAAGCTCGTCCGGCGTGATATAGGGCCGCCGCGTACGTTGTGATGCGATGTGTTTTGGGAGAAGTGCGGCTTGACGAACATGGAGAGACATCATGACGATGATGTTGCATATGACGATGCGGAGGAGGAAACAGAGAAGTATCACGGACGGAAATACAGCAACCGATTTGGTGAGCTATAGCATTGCAGGTTGGTTTCTGTGCCGGGCCCAGCTCACATCCCCCATGTGTTTGTTATCGCTTGCGCTCACAAGTGATGAGGGTCTGCCCTGCCTAAAATTGTTTTTTTTGAATGGCAAAGGTATGATAGACGATGATGACGGGACGAGGGGCGATAGGGTGCGTTATGAGTAATGTGGATGGGTTGATGCTGAAAGCAGTAATGATGGAGCCAGAGTGCGCAGCGTTACACCACTGAATTATGTAGCTGGTGAACGTAAACAGCGATTGCAGCCTGGGTTCTGATGGGAAGCAGCTGGTTCTGCAGCGCTGCGAATTATATGCTGTAAAGGCTTAAAGCTTAGACGATTGTGGTTGTGCCGTGCGATATCCAGACACAACGCATCACCTTGCATGAACATGATTGTATGGCTTTTGGAAGACGGGGGGCGGCGGTGACAATGAAGAAGCAGATCGCGCTGATGAGGATGACGATGATGCTGACGATTAGGGAACAGGCAGGATTGCGCTGACGGTGCGGAGTGCGGGTCTGCTGGGGGAGAGGCATGAGTGGTTGACGATAAGGAGTGCGAGCGGGGAGAAAGAAACCAATTGCAGCGCGATAGCTTCTGAAACGGGCGTCGCGCTTGACTGGGAGGCCAAAAGGTCTCACACAACGCACGTGTGAATGTAAACAGCGCCACGTGTTCAAGTTTGCGGCTTACCCCCCATATCCAACTATTTTGACGCCTCAGTTTTTCCGCCTCCTTGTCACGTCTTCCTTTTCTTCCCTCCTTGCGAATACCCATCCGCACTCAGACTCACTCGCATTCGCTCTTACCAAAACTCAGGTTCGCTCACTTTCAGGCGCGTCCAGACTTAGTCACACTTAGACTCACCCAGCCTCAGACCCAGCATGTCTAGACACACTCACAATCAGTCGTACACGGGCCCAGCAAGCCCGCAGCATTGAGCCGAAAGGGGTGCAAGTGAATTCCGATGTGCGTGAAGTTCAGATTTTCGTTATGGTTTTGCCATGGTTCCTCCTCTTCCATGCAAGAAGACTTATCTGGATCTGGGGAAGAATGGCATCTTGAGCCAAATAGGGCCGATTTGGGAGACCACTAGTGGTTCCGAGACAGGAGAAGTTTGAGCGATGAGCGGCCGCGAGAGCAAATCGGAAATGGTCAGAAGTTCGACAGCGTCTTTGGTTTCGCGTTGCAGCAAGTTGCAGCCGTCTGGGGCCCCCAGATGGTCCTTTGACGCAGCTGGCGACGGCATGAACGAAGCCAGGTGGATGGAAGTAACATGCGAGCCTTTTGGGAGTGTTGGAATAGCTAGGTCAACCGCGTTGGCGCAAAGGTAATCGCGCGCCGCGGCAGAGCGGTTGCCATTCTCCAAGGGGGTGGCGCGGGGGCGCGAGGGCGCGAAGATAATCGCGCCTCGCGGGGTGCGATGCACGGAGTTAGGCGACCTACAAATCGGCTCTCAAGGATCTCGCAGGCTCTTCGGCCTCATGCCCAGGCGGATCTCGACGTAGCGCCCTGCGGTGAGTCCTTCTGCCGACCCCCAGCAGAAGAGGAGGTTCAGTGACGACGTCCTGGGCTTGTCGGGCGTCCTGGGGAGGGCAGTGCGGAGGAGAAGGTAAAAAGAAGGACGATGAGATGCTGAGGAGGAGGAGGAGGAGAAGGTGGAGGAGGAGAGAGTCGAGGGACAAACCCTTGCATAAACATCAGTTAGCAGAGCTCCGCGCGCCCTCATTAGCTCGGCGCCGGACCCCCCTGGAGGCGTCTCCGGCGCACTCCCTGGCGCGCCTGCGTGCCAAGGTGGGTCCAGCGCACATGCAAGAAATCCGCGCCTGACACCTAACCTTTCCACGGTCCGCGCAGATCTCTTGGATCTGCGCTGGACCCCCCTGGGGGCGCCTCCGTCGCCGCCCCTGACGCGCCCCACGCGCCAGGGAGGTGTGTCCAGCACTCAATTACCAGATGTAAACCCTACCCCCACCCCCCACGATTTCCAAGGGGTGGGTGGGGGTTCACTTTGTCGAGAGCTCCCGAGTGGAGTGACCCCTCAACCACCCTTCGAAATCTTTGGGGGGTGGGGGATAGGGTTCACATGTGGCCACCTATGCGCAGAGCCAAGAAATCTGCGCTGAGCTCCGAAAGTGCATGTTCATGCCCCAAAGTGCATGTTCATTCAGGTTTGTTGAGCGATCGAGGGCCGAGTGTCCTGAGAAACGCTAGGGTTTAGGGGTACACGCCGGTCGTTGAAAGTAGGTATTGTTAAATTTGTTGGATGCCAATTTGCTTTAGGCGCCTTCCTACTTCCATGATCGAGTGGTTCACCTTGAGATTTTTACCTAACAGCGAAGACTGATAGGTTTCTAGTGGGATCAAAAGAGAGCAGCAGATCACTCCACAGGGGGGTCCGGGCAGGTGTTGGGAGTTGCCGGGCGGCAGGTGCCGGGCTCGTTTTTCACCAACAGTCACACACTTCGTGCTCTTCGACTTCCCAGAACTCCATTCCCAGGCCACATTCTCAATACCCGGATGCAACAGTCACACACTTCGTGCTCTTCGAGATCCCAGAACGCCATTCCCGGGCCACATTCGAATACCCGGATGCAACAGTCACACACTTCGTGCTCTTCGACATCCCAGAACGCCATTCCCGGGCCACATTCTGGAGGGCCGGATGCAACAGTCACACACTTCGTGCTCTTCGAGTTCCCAGAACTCCATTCCCGGGCCACATTTTGGATGCCCGGAGCCAACTGTAGGCCACTTCGTGCTCTTCGAGTTCCCAGAACTCCATTCCCGGGCCACATTTTGAATGCCCGGAGCCAACTGTAGGCCACTTCGTGCTCTTCGAGTTCCCAGAACTCCATTCCCGGGCCACATTTTGAATGCCCGTAGCCAACTGTAGGCAACTTCGTGCTCTTCGACTTCCCAGAACTCCCATTCCTGGGCCACATTTTCAGCAGGGGCAAGAGCACGACGAGGAGGAGGACGAGCAAGACCAGGAGGACGAGGACGAGCAGGAGCAGGACGAGGAGCAGGAGGAGCAGGAGAAGAAGGACGAGCAGGAGGAGGAGGAGGACGAGCAGGAGGAGGAGGACGACCAGGAGGAGGAGGACGACCAGGAAGAGGAGGAGGAGGAGGAGGAGGGGAGGGGGAGGAGTACCAGGAGGAGGAGGAGGAGGAGGAGGAGGAGGAGGAGGAGGAGGAGGAAGAGGAGGAGGAGGAGGAGGAGGACGAGGACGAGGAGGAGGAGGAGGAGGGGGGGGGAGAGTACCAGGAGGAGGAGAACGAGGACCACCAGGAGGAGGAGGAGGAGGAGGAGGAGGAGGAGGAGGAGGAGAGAACACCAGGAGGAGGAGGACGAGCAAGACGAGGAGGACGAGAACGAGGACGACCAGGAAGAGGAGGAGGAGGAGGAGGAGGGGAGGGGGAGGACTACCAGGAGGAGGAGGAGGAGGAGGAGGAGGAGGAGGAAGAGGAGGAGGAGGACGAGGAGGAGGAGGAGGAGGAGGACGAGGAGGAGGAGGGGGGGGGAGAGCACCAGGAGGAGGAGAACGAGGACCACCAGGAGGAGGAGGAGGAGGAGGAGGAGGAGGAGGAGGAGGAGGAGGAGGAGAGAGCACCAGGAGGAGGAGGACGAGCAAGACGAGGAGGACGAGAACGAGGACGAGCAGGAGGAAGAGGAGGAGGAGGAGGAGGAGGAGGAGGAGGAGCAGGAGAAAGAGGAGGAGGAGGAGGAGGAGGAGGCAGGCTGAGGCTGAGGCTGTGACTGCGACTGCCGTTGCCGCTGCGACTGTCATCGCGAATGCGACTACGACTGCGAGAACAGCAGAATTCGACAACTGGATTTTCATCTGAATCTTAAGGGGAATGCTTTCAGATATGCTTCTACACATCGCTGTTAGGTTGCTTTGCCGGGATAATTTTTATACTGGCCCGTAATGGTAACGATTGGGGTGGGGGCTGGGTGGGAGGGGGCGGGGGGGGGGGCATGCGTGCACCGCCTGTGCACACCGCAGTGCCTGGATACACCACAGCAGCCAAGTGCAACACAGCGCTGGTGCACTGCAGTGCCTGCGTGCACCACAGCGCCTGTGTACATCGCAGCGCCCGTGTACACAACAGAGCAGCCGTGGGCCGTGTACACCACAGCGCTTATGTAAACCGCAGTGCTTGTGTGTACCACAGCGCCTGTCTACACCGCAGCGCCCATGTACACCACAGCAGCCGTGCACACCACAGCGCTTGTGTACATCGCAGTGCCTGCGAACACCACAGCGCCTGTGTAAGCCACAGCAGCCGTGTGCAGCACGGCGCCGTTGTACACCACAGTGCTTGCGTGCTCCACAGCTCCTGCGTGCACCAGAATGGAGCGCCCAAGTGCCTGCGTTGCAGGGCCCGCGTGCACCACAGCGCCTGTGCACATCACATGGCACGCGCACACCACAATAGTCGTGTGCATCACAGAGCCGTTGCCGTATGTGCCGCTGCAGTCGTGCGCGTGCACCGCAGCGCCTGTGTAGCCCGCAGGCAGCGCCTGCGTGCACCAGGGCGCCTCGTGCACAGCAGTCACAGCGGCCACGTGGATTAGAGCGCACGCGTACACCATGCCACCGCCGGGGGCCCGAACGTAACAAAGTCAATCCGCAAAGGCTTCGCCCCCTGCCGCGGGCTCCCTCTCTATCATAATGGGGTATAACAGAGTCGCGTCGGTGCGTCTCGGCGCTGCCTTTGCGCATCTGGGAACAGCATGCGAGGCGGATCGGAGTCATCAGCGCATATTGAAACGTTGGCGTTATCGAAGACGCCTACGGCGAATCACCGCCGCCCCCTGCCTTTTTGGAAACGCCGATGTGGCCGAAAGTTGGACTAGAGCTTGGCCAAGCTATCGGACCATGAGTTCCCCGAGTCGGTTTGGAAAGCTTTCGGGGAACACATGGGAGAGAATGATTATGAACAGGAAGAGGAAGAGGAAGAAATAGAGTAGGAGGATGAGGGTTGTTAGGAGTCTCTTGGGGCACCCTTGGGGTCTGTTGGGGGCTTCTTGGGGGCCTCTTCGAGGCCTCTTGGAGGCATCTTGGGGGCCTCCTTGGGCCTCTTGGGGGCCTTTGGGGGCTTCCTGGGGGTCTCTTTGGCCGTCTTAGGGCGTTCCTGGTCCGTCTGACGCCGTCTGGAGCCGTCTTGGGGGCCTCTCTGGGCCGTCTTGGGGCCCTCTTGGGGCGCTTCAGGGCCGTCTTGGAGGCCATGTTGGGCGTCTTGGAGGCCTCTTGGGCCGTCTTGGGGCGCTCTTGGGGCCGTCTTGGGGGGCCCTTGGGCCGTCATAGGGCCTTCTTGGAGGCCTCTTGGGCGATCTTGGGGGCCTCTTGGGCCGTCGGAAGGCCGAAAAGAAGAAAACGCAAAAAACCTTCAAAAACCTAAGGAAAACCAATGATTTTGGCCTCTTCGGGCTCTCCTGGAGAACGTCTTGGAGGCCTCTTGGGCCATCTTGGAGGCATCTTGGGGCCATCTTGGCCGTCTTGGAGGGCATCTTGGGCCGTCTTGGAGGCATCTTGGAGCCATCTTACCCGTCTTGGAGGCCATCTTGGCCGTCTGGGAGGCATCTTGGAGGCCATCTTGGGCCATCTTGGCCGTCTTGGAGGCCATCTTGGGCCAAGTTGGGCCAACAAAGGCATTGACAGACGGATTTTGGGAAAATTACGGGTGGCCGGCGGGACGGGCCGAAGCCCACTGGGGAGTTCTTTTAGAAAAAGTACCAAAACCAAAACCTGAAACATCCAGCACGCCGTGCACCCCTGCAAGCAGGGGGCGGCGGATCCCAGTGGCCTTCGGCCCATCCCGCCACCGTGCCTGGGTTGTGGGTCTGAGGCCTCGTGTATATGTGTTCGGGTGTCGTGGGGACCTCTCGGGGGGCCTCTTGGGGCCTCGTGGGGTATCTTTGGGCTTCTTGGAGGCCTCTTGGGGGCGTCTCGGGTGCCTCCTGGAGCCTTTTGTAGGAGATCGTGGCCTCGGGGGCGCGAATGCGGCGGGATTTACAAAGGATCGTGGTTTCGGGGGCGCGAATGTGGCGTGATTTTGGTGGGGAACGTGGCCTCGGGGGCGCGAATGCGGTGTAATTTACAAGTGATCGTAGCCTCGAGGGCGCGATTGTGGCGTAAGTTATTTGGGATCGTGGCCCCAGAGGCGAGAATGTGGTGTAATTTATTCGGGATCGCGGCCTGAGTAGCGTGAATACGGTATTTTACGAGGGATCGTGGTTCCGTGTATGCGAGCACAGCGCAATTCTCAAGGGATCTTGGCCTCGGGGGCGCGAATACAGCATCATTTACGAGGGATCATTGCACCGGGAGCGCGAATCTCATGTATTTTTACGTGTCCCACGGGCCCCCCGGAAATTCAGAAAACGCGATTCGGGGAGGGCCCTTTTCAGCTCCCCCCTCGCGCGGACAGTAAAAATTGGCAGTAAGAAGCAGCAAACAATACTGCAACATTGGGAACTGGAAACTGGAACCGGCGCAGGAAGCAGCAAACCTAATCCTCGCAGCCTGATGGCCCCACAAGAGGGCCGGCGGAACACCATGATGCTTGGGACCGCTACTGCTGCTGCTGCTGCTGCTGCTGCTGCTGCTGTTGCTGCTGCTGCTGCTGCTGCTGCTGCTGCTGCTGCTGCTGCTGCTGCTTCGCCGCTGCTCACCGTCCTTGTTTCCCCCTTTTTTTCGTTTGCGGTGTGAGCAAAACAATAGCCTGCGAGCACCGCGGCGTGCAAGCACAACAGTAGCCCGCGAGCACACAGCCGGGGCCCGTGAGGAGAGAAAGATGGAGGGAGGGAGGAACATCACCTTCTGTTTTAACTGAGGCAGGGGTGCTTGCGCGCAGCACCACAGCGCCTGCGTACACCACGACAGCCGCGTGCAGCACAGCGCCAGTGTACACCACAGCGCCTGCGTGTACAACAGCGCCTGTGTTTGCCGCCGCCGTGTCCACCGCGACAGCCGCGCGCACGGGGGGGGGTTCGCGCCACCGCCCGCGGTACGATCGTTATCGTTGGGGGTGGGGGGGGAGGAGCGGACCCCCGTGACAAACGTTACGGGGGGGCGGCGGAAGTGAGCAACAATCCCCTTTTCCTTCCCATCCAGGCGGGCGCGCGGAAGCCCAATCCTTGTCCAACGCGTTCCTGCTTCATGTTTCGGCCCACTTCTGCGGACCGACGGGTAGTGGTAGTTGCAGGGGGGGGGGACGCATCGACCCCTACCCCTCGTTGATCGCCGAGATGGTGGGTGCGCTGATAGCCCAACCCGCCCAGAAACGTGCTGTTTCGCCGTCGGGGGCCGGTCGCCGATCTATCGCCGATGCATCGCCGACTCTGCCTCAAGATCCCCTCCCCCCTTAGCTGGTCCCTCCCTATTGTTGCCTTTCAGAGGGAGGAAGCTCGGCCGTGGCCAGCACCAGGATGAATCGTTCTAGAGCGTTCTTGAACTCCCCTCAGACCGTTCGGGAGCGCCGCGGAGTAGCCGCCGCGCCCGATACCTTCAGAATCTCTGGATCTCAGAGGTTCCCTGTCCCAGTCTGATGAGGTCCCAGTCCCGGCATCGTCTTAGGCGGGCACGCGCCCCGAGCGGCCAGCCGTGGTCTTCTCCTTGCTGGCCGCGCGACGGCGGCAGGAGGGAGGGTGGGCACGCCGTGTGGGTGTTCGGTCGGACTGTGTCCTCGGCGCGCGCGAGCTGGGCTATCTGGAAGCAAGGCGTGGCTCGTCTCAGAGCCATCGTGGGGCACCCGTGGGGGTCCTCGCGGGCCAGGGCCATCTCGGGGCCTCCTTTCGGACCCTGGCCCCAAGGGCTTCCTTGGGCCTCCTCCTTGGGCCTCTGGCGGGCTTCCTCTGGGCCTCCTTTGGCCACACTGGGGCCGTCTGATGTTGCGAAGGATGGTCTGAAGGAGACAAAGGGTGGGGGACCACCCTGCCATCGACACGCAGATGGTTGTTCAATGAGTTTGGCCTCTTGGAGGCTCGTGGAGCCACCTTGAGGCCGATTTGGGCCATCTTGGAGGCTCAGCGTTGGACATCGAGCAGTCGTGGAGGTCACTTTGGGCAATATCGTGCCACATTGACACCATCTCTGGCCAAGTGACGTTGGGAGCCTGGGAGCATCATGCAGAGGGGGGCCTGCGGTTCTGACTTCCCCACAACTGCCAGAGACACGAGCGGTAGTACTCGGTCGGGGTCCGATCTTCTACTCGGTGGCCACGTTTGAACCCTACAGCCACCCTCCACGATTTCTGAGGGTGGTGTGGGGGTTCACTTTGTTCGGGAGCTCCCGAGCGGAGTGAACCCCCAACCCCCCCTTAGAAAATGTGGGGTGTGGGGGTAGGGTCCACACGTGGTCACCTATCTACTGGGTTGGCCCGTTGAATTTACGATCTCGCCATCTCGGCGCCCGTACGTGGAGAGGAGCCTGTCGCGGCAGGTGTCGCTCAACGGCATGCCGATGAAGGTCCACCCCGTGCAGGTCGACGAGAACGGGCTGGTCGTCCCGCTCGCTCACCCCCGTGGACGTCGCCGTCGTCGTCGTCTTCGTCGTCGTCGTCGTCGCCGCCTCGTCGTCGCCGTCGGCACTCGCCCGTGAAATCAATGTGTATTCCAAGGTGAGCCCGTTTTTCCTCCCCAGGGTAGCCAGGGTAGCAGGGCTCGTTTCGACTTCTCCGTTTCGGCTTCGGATTCCGATTTGGACCCGGTTCCTAATTGGAGGCGTACTAGCCTGCCGATTTCCGCCGATCTACGCTCGTTACCCGGGCCAAACGCCCCCCACGTCCAGCCCGGGTAACGCCAACGATCGTATTGAGGGGTGTGGCCTGGATCCCTCCCGCTACGTGCTTTGGGTGCACATAGGCGATTGATGCGCCCGTGGCGGGGATGCACCCTGGCAGGTTCACGCCGCCGCCGCAGTTAGCGTGACCCTCCCGCCCGACCCCCCCCCCTTCAGGGGAAGGAGAACCAGTCACAAGGCCATGAGGGCACAGTATTCGAAGCAGGGCTGGACCTAAGCGGTGTTTTTGGTGATTTGTTATCGTTTCGACTTCGCTTTGCGGTAAATGCGGATTCGAGACAAAGGCGAGGGAAAACGAAAACAAAACGATAACGAAGAACACCGTTCAGGTTCAGCCCTGATTCGCGGAGTGTTTGCACGCTCCGTTCCCCGTCAGAGGAGCAGCTATGAGGCTCGGTGCTCTGCTGGGTCCTGGTTGTGCCCTTCGGCTCCCTGTTTTTCGGGTCCTCCTTCCCCGGCAGAACCACCCCAGCGACCGTGGGACCCCCCGAAACATCTGGGGCATATGCAAATCATGCAGAAATCGCCAGATGGAGCCCCCCCCCCGCCTCCCCGGCAAAGCCAACCCGGCGACCCTGGGGCCCCCGAATCATCTGGGGATGCAGTAGAATTGCTGAGAAGTGATGAACGCAGGAGTCGGAGGAGGAGGAGGAGGCGGTGGAGTGGGAGGTTAAGCAGGACGAGGAAGAGGAGGCGGAGTGGGCTGGAGGATGGAGGAGAGGCTGTAAGTCTAGGAGTCGTTGTTGTTGCGGAGTGCGGCGGCAGCGGAAGTTCGCAGTGGTGATGTGGAGAGGGCTTGTTGTGTCGCAGTCATTCGGGATGTGAAGGGCAGCAGAACGAGTGGAAAGTATATGTTTAATGCCCAGTCCCCAGTCCATGCTTGAAATGGTTACCATAAATGCTGCTGCCTCATTCCAAGAACGAGAATTTGAATACGTTCATTGTTGCGATGGTGCCAACGAAGAGATGTGATTCCAATTCGTTGCCGATCATGGCGATCGGTCGCGAAGTGGAGCGCGTGCGGGTTGAGATTACTGCCAGTGTTACGTGGAATTGGCATCGCTACCGTTTCACATGTTGCAGTGGTTTCACGGCGCGGAGGTCACAGGCATAGGCAAGATATGGCAGCTGAAAGGCTGGCTGGAGGTCGACCGCTTCTGCTCTCTGGGAGGGAGGCTCCTCATCACTTGACTCCTCTGCCCTGTTTGGGCGTTGTATCCGTCCACGTCCTCCGACCTTGCATTTTAGTTTGTCAGGTTATCCCCCAGGGATGCCGACCTCTTCCACGGGGCCGGTTGCTCAGTCCGAGCCGGTGTTTGAGTGCACAGGTCCAGGACAAGCCCCCGCATTTCGACATTGGAGAACAACATGCAGCGGCGGTTTTTGGTTGCGACGCGTAGAGCGTAGGTATGAGGGTCGTGCCAGCTTGGAGAGCCACGTCATGCCTACCTCTTTGTTCATGCCAGCGTCCCCAGGGTTCTCGCAGCGTACAGGTTCCTGGCGATAGGAAGTCGGAAGGATGGGAGAGTGCGCGGAATGGATCCTGCACGCGCTTTTTGTTCCGCGTGGACCGTCTGCCGCCATCGAGGCCCCGAGGGCCCCGCGTCAGTAAAAAAAAAGCCACGGTCTGTTCGGATGGCAAAGGGCGACCAGGATTTCGGTCTACCAGGACAACATCAGGTCCCACCAAGACGGCTCCAGGTCGTACCGGCTTGGAGAGCCACTTCGTGCCTGCCTCGTTGTGTATGTCAGAGTCCCTAGGGTTCGGCGTGCAGCCGCCCTGGCGATATGAAGTCGGTAGGATGCGAACTACGCGGAATTGATCTCGCACGCGCATCTTTCCGCGTCGGCCTTAGGAAAAAAAACATGTTTCTTCGGATTGGACGTGGCTACCAGGACCTTTGTCTACCAGGACAATATCAGGTCCCACCAAGACTGCTCCAGGAACTCCAGTTGTTCAAGACTATTCAATCCCGCTGCTGCTGGGATAGGTTGTCTGCAAATTGTTCGGATGAGCGTCTGAGGGCTTCACGTGCTCCTCTTCTTCCTCTCCCTCCTTCCCGGCTTGATGCTCTGTGGGGCACCAGCCGCGCCCGCGTGCCAGTCTGCCATCAGCGCAAAACACACCGTGTGCAGTGTGCATCGGCTGGCCTCCCAGCCCAGAGACTGGGCGCCGGCGGTAAACCGTCAACCTTGGTTACCGCCGGGGGACTCGTAGAGCTTCCTAACTCGACTTAAGTTGAGAAAACAGACAGCACTTACAAGAATCAGAGTTATAGTGAATAGTTGTTTGATCTCTGAATGCGACAGACGGACGCGTCTGATGTCTGCGAATCTACCCCTGTCATTACCAGCCCTGCAGCCCCCCCCAACAGCCCGAGTTAAGTGCAGAAAACCGATAGCACCTTAGGATGACCCGAACAATAGGAATAGTTTCGCAGACCTAGTTCGGGCATCAGACAGAGTTCAGAGCTCTGTATTCGACAGACGGACGCGCCTGATGTATTCGAACCGATTCCAACGATTACCAGCCATGGAGCCCCCCTACAGCCAGAGTTAAGTCCAGATAACCGACAGCATCTCGCAAGCGACTCGAACGATACGAATAGTTTCGCGATTCTAGATCGGGCAGCAGACCGAATCCAGAGCTCTGGATTCGTCAGACAAACGCAACTGATGATTCTGAATTGGTGCCTTTAAATATCAGCTCTGGGGCTGTCCTAAAGCTCGAGTTTAGTGCAGAAAACCGAGCGTTTCTGTCAAGATGACACGAATAATACGAACATGTTTGCAGACCTAGCTCGGCTAGCAGACCGAGTTCAGACCTCTGGGTTCAACAGGCGAACGCGCCTGATCATTCTGCATGCATTACCTGTACTAAGCAGCTCTGTAGCTGCCCTAGAGCTCGAGTTATCTTCAGAAAACGTCAGCGCATATCAAGATGACTCAAAACGGCCGATCCCGCCACAGTGCTTTTCGATAGTAATATTCATCCAATCGAGCTGAGATCAAGATGGCGCGCGTGAGTAAGATCGAATATCACGGGAAAAAATACTAGAGCTCTAACGAATTGTCAAATTTTGAGAACAAAATTTTCAACCGAGCAAAAGTCGTCAAAAGTTCCGTCGAAATTTTTCTTGCCAACTAGCTCTCCAGCGCTCCGGAATTACTCTAAAGGTTCCAGCAATAACTTGCTAAGGGAAGCTCTACGAGTTACTCGCGCCGTCTCGGCACCTCCTCGGCTTCTGCCGCCACCACCGCAGTGCCGTCGCCGGCCTCGGCGAGCTCGGCTCGAGCGCTCACGAGCGGGAGCGGAGCTATTCCTGCCACTCGGGCGGGGGTGGTGCCAGGGGGTGGCCTGAACGGGGGGGGGGAAGAGAGAAGAACCCCAAAGGGGCACCTCAGGGCCCAGTTTGGAGTCAGCAGCGGGCCCAAAAGGAGCCCTGGAGTGCCCCTTTGGGGGGCTCTGTGTGCTTCTCTTCCTCACCCCCCGAAGCCACGCGCCCGAGCCCCGCGGCAGTCTCTCGGTCGGGCGGGCAGCACGGCAGGACATAGACGCGGCAGTCCTTCGGTCGGGCGGCCACCGCGGCAGGATTGGCCATCATGCGAGCGTGGTTTCCGGTGGGGGGTCGCCGAGGCGATGAGCCCCACGAGGGGGGGGGAGAGCCTCCGCCTCCTCCTGGAGCCCAGGTGTGTGTGTGTGTGTGTTCTCTGCCAGTCTCTCTCGATCTCTCTGTGTCCGTCTCCCTCGATGTCGGTGTGTCCCGCCCGCACTCGGCCAGGACGAGCAGATCGAGTTCAAGGAGGCTCCGTCTCGCGAGGCGTGCGCACGGGGCCGGGGCATGCACTCCCCAGGGGTCGGGAGCTGGCGAGCGCGCACGGTTCTCGGGGGCAGGCTGGCAAGGCCTGCAGCCTGCGCTCGAAGACGGACAAGTGATGCCACCAGAAGTTTTCGTCGCTCCGCGCGGATTTCCTATAGATCAGCACCGGGGCCCCCTGGCTGCGCCTCTGGCCCCGCCCCTGGCGGCCTGCGCGCGCCAGGGAGGGACCAGCGTAGATCCAAGACGTCCGCGCGGACCGTCGACGGTGCACGTCGGAGGCTGGGGCGGGAGGTCGCAGCGGAACGGAGGGCCCCCCCACCGGGAAAGCGGTTTCGAATTCGGGTTCGTGTCGCGCGTGCGGGCGAGGCGGATCTGCGTGGGCGGGCGACAGGAATGACCCCGCCGTGGCCAGGCCGGGGCAAGAAAAAAAACTGCCCCTCTGGTGGGCCGGCGTGGCTAGGGGTGTCCCGCCGTGGTGTCCCGCCGTGGTGTCCCGCCGTTGTGTCCCGCCGGTGTCTCGTCGGTGTCCGCGGCGGTGGCGGGGGGTGTCCCGTCGGTGCTCCGTCGGTGTCCGTCTGTATTACGTCGGTGTCCCAGCCGTGGGTGTTCTGTCGGGGTCCTATTGGTGTCCCGTTGGTGTCCTGTCGGTGTCACGTCGATGTCCCGATAGGTGCCCGTTGGGTGTCTTGGTGGTTTTCCGATGGTGCCCTCGATGGTTTGTTTCCGATGGTGTTTCCATGGTGTGATTGCGGCCCGATCGTGTCCAGATGGTTTCCAGTGAGATACATCGTGAGACTTCGGGGATGGGTTCGAAATGAACCGGAGACTGCTGCCTCCTCATCGCAGTGCAGCCGATTGTCACCACTGAGCACTGGCACCACTGTCACCGCAGATGTTTTGCTCAAGCAAGCATGTCGAACGACCCGCACCTCCCTGCTGCCATGTCCGCGGGCGGCGCGTGCCGCTTCGGCAGCGCTTCCCCTCCGCCAGGCGCTGCTGGTTTTTTTACCAGTTCCGAGGTCGATAGTGAGATAGGTAGTGAGATCGGCAGTGATGTCGATTGTGCGATGAACTACGGGATCGATCGAGTCCGATCGCTAGAGGTAGGTCGATAGAGTGAGATCGGCAGGATGGGATCGTTTGCGGAATCGATCGTGCGAGCGGTAGTTAGATCTATAGTGAGATCGTTGGTGGCATCAATTGAGTGAGACGTTGGTTCTGCTCCCCCCCCCGCAACCTCCTTACCACCCGAAGGGTGGTCGTATCGCTATGTTGCCGTGCTTTTTCTCCCCCCCGTGCGTCAGCCCAGCTTGTGTTTACCCCGCCCAGCTCCGCCGATGGCACGCATCATCTGCCGGCCCTCGCTGCTCGGCCTGCGTCGCAGGAAGGGGCCTCGGTGGACAAGTACTGTGGGCGCTGACATGCGCTCCGAGGGTCGTCGAAGTTTTGGTCATTCTGGTTCGGCCCGGGTGCCCCCGAGCCGGCAGCGAACGCGTGTCAGAGGCCCTCCTCACGGCGCGGCGACCCCGCCGCGTGGTGAACCAGCCGGGCTTCGGGGTCCCCGAACGGGTTCTGGGATTCGGGTGGTTCTCCGAGGACGTCTCGGAGGTTGGGTCCCCATGGTCCCAAAACTTCAGATGCAACTCCTGGGAGGTCAAATTCTGATTTAGCCCTGGTCCGAAGTCCAGCTTAATCTGGCTTGATCCCGCTTAATCCGGCTTAATCCCGCCTAATCCGGCTTAGTCCCGCTTTCTGCGAGGCCCAATTTGGCGTAATAGCGCCCCATTGGGGCTCAATCCTCCTTAATCCTTCCAACAAAGACCTCTCAGTAGTTGCCTCCGAACAAAACCATGCGGCGACTGACCGTGAGGTACTGCGGGATTTCGAGGTTAGCACACGGGCCGTCATCGCACCGTGTTGGAACCCCCGACCGTAGTGTGCAGGCTGCAGTTCGGAAACGCGGTCGCGCCCCATCGGGGGGCGTGCCCCGTTTGCTCAAGCCGCTCTGGCGCGAGCCCCCCCAATCTCCCATCCAACGTCACGGTATCTTTGTGACGATGACCCGTGGAGATTTCAATTTCTCTACGACGCTCCTTCCGCTCATCGCTCACACGATAGAGAATTGTGGAGCTTGGCGCGTGGCGCTGAAATTAACAACTGTGGACTTGATTTTTTCCTAACCGTCCTGTGGCGTTGGGTCCTCGTTTTGATGAGACAGCGCCCCGCGTTCTCCCGCCTCCTCCCTCCTCCCATCCCTGCCTCTGCCCTCCGCATGACCACCGTTCCGGCACCCCTCACACGTTTCGTTAGGGAGCTCCACCGAAGGCTCCAATGGGAGGGTTCGCGTGGCACCATCGCTCCCAATTCGGCACACCCCTCACACGTTTCGTGGCCCCATAGGGAGCTCCACCGAAGGCTTCAATGGGAGGGTTCGCGTGGCACCACCGCATCAAATCCGGCACACCCCTCACACGGTTCGTGGCCCGATAAGAGAGCTCCACCGAAGGTTCAAATGGGAGGGTTCGCGTGGCACCACCGCGCCCAGTTCGGCACACCCCTCACACGGTTTGTGGCCCCATAGGGAGTTCCACCGAGGACTCCAGTGGGAGGGTTCGCATGGCACCACCGCGCCCAATCCGGCACAGCCCTCACACGGTTCGTAGCCCCACAGGGAGCTCCACCGACGGCTCCAGCGGATGGGTTCGCATGACACCACCGCACCCAAGTCGGCACACCCCTCACACGTGTCGTGGCCCCATATTGAGCTCCATCGAAGGCTTCAATGGGAGGGTTCGCGTGGCACCACCGCATCAAATCCGGCACACCCCTCACACGTTTCGTGGCCCTATCAGGAGCTCATCGGCAGGCGGTACCCACAATGCTTATTTGCATCTGCATATTGTTGGGCCTTTCGTCAGGCTAATCTTTTGGAATTGTGTCGCAGAGAGGCAGTCAACGAAGTTATGCGTCAGATGAAGCGCATCAGACCGCATTGCCATCTTTGCATCATGGGATGCATGCCCAGTTCGACAATGTCACGGAGCGCCCTGTTGTGCATTTGTTTTTTCCATCAATGGTTTTCAGAGTTGCCGATCAACATGTTTGATCCTCTTCGGTCCGCGTGAAGGGCGCTTGCCCACGGGCCTTCAACAACAACACCCTCAGGATGAAAAGCCGGTCCTCAGGAAGGGGCAGAGATTCTGTTGGGGGAGGCCAGGCCACGAAAACAATGCGACGTCGGAGGTGAGGTGGGTAGTACGGAATGCAGTTGCAGGGTTTCTGGCATCACCACCCTTCGAGATCATCGATCAGATGTGAGGCGTCGCTGTTGTGCGGCAGTTATTGCAAACACTATGTATAAGCACCCATACATCTCACTGAGCAAAAGCAGCACGACACACTACACGTTGCATACTGCAGACTGAACCCGAAAACTTTGCAATCTGCGTGTGGTAAACGCCTGCGCGTTGCACGTCTTACATGCTGCGTACGACGACAGACTACATGTTACGACGCACGTGGTACGTAAGACATCTACCATAACACCTTCCACACAAGGCGTGATGTCTGTTGCAGGCTACGCGCGGGCCACATCGCACAGGCTCAGGAACACACGATACGCCTCGACGACACCCCTTTTATGTACACATGGTATAATGGATGCCATAAGCGTGCCACGACGACGACGAAGACCCCCTTCATCATTTTGTTGCGAAATGGTGAGATCCTTGCAGGTGATGGAGTTCGCGCGCTCGGTGACGTGGAAGAGGGCCAGCCGAGCCGCTGTTCTGCTTATCAGTTGCCTCGGGTGTTGCCTCCTCCGACCCCACCCCCACATCCTTCGCCTGACTTCTGCCACGAGCACCCTCCTCGGTTCCTCTTCCCTCCCTCCACCCTCCTCCCCTCCCCCTCGCCCATATATATACATATATATATATAGATGTGTATATCTATATACATATATATATATATACAAATGCATATATATATATATATATATATATATATATATATATATATATATATCGGAGTAGGGCCCGGGGGCGGCCCGGGGCGGTGCCTGTAATTTCCATGGGGGGTGCAGGGCGCCCCCAGCGTCCGAAGCGTCCCGGAGGGCCCCTGGGACCGCCAGGAACAGTTCGAGACCGCCCAAGACGGCCCGCGAGCGCTCCAAGACGCGCATAGATAGCCTCAGGAATGGCCAGGAAGGCCCGAAGACGTTCCAAGAGAGCCCCATGAGGCCCCGAAGGCATCCCAAGAGGCCTCCCAAGAGAGCCCCGACAAGCCAAAATCGTTGATTTGTATTGTTTTGTTTTAGGTTTTTGGCCTTCTCGCTTTTTCGGGGTTCCGACGCTCCAAGGCCGTCCAAGAGTCTCCCAAAACCGCTCCAAGACGGCCGCAGAGGCCCCCAAGACCGCCCCAAGACGGCCCAAGAGACCCCCAAAATCGTCCCAAGACGGCCCAGGGGAGCCCCAAGATGGCCCAGGAGCCGCCCAAGACGGTTCCAGGAGAGCCCCGACAGGGCTTCAAGACTGCCTAAGCGAGCCCAGCGGTCCCCAAGAGGGCCCCGCGAGGCCCCAAGAGGCCCCAAAGAGGCCCCCAAGAGCCTCCCCGGAGGCCCCCAGAGGCCCCCAAGATGACCAAGAATGACCCTGAGCGCGCCCCAAGACGCCTCCAGGAGAGCCCAACAGGCCTCCGAGAGGCCCCCAAGAGGCCCACTGGAGGCCCTCAGGAGGTCGTCCCCATCATGTTCCCGGAAGGCGGTCCGGGAACATGATTCCGCGCCTTGGAGGAGTATTCTACTCCTTCCGAGGCGCCTTGGACGACGTGCGTATGTTTCTATAGATTGTCCTTCTCCTGTGTACACAATCCTACATGTTTTACGTACGTTTGTATATATATACACACATATATGTACGGTAGGTCTGTGTCGTGTCGACTTTCGGCGACCCGGGCGCGCGACTTCAATGTTGAATTCCGCTGCGCGCGAGCGCATTAACGTTTGAATGGTCGGCGGTCTCTCCTCCGTCCCCTTTCTCTCTCCCTTTTCTCCTCCTTCTGCCCCCAGAACGTTTACCTTTGAACGATCCTGTCGTCCCCTTCGGTATCCCTTTTTCTCTCCCTTCTCCCTACGATGACGAAGACCAGGGTCCTCGGGGAAGAAAGTAGCGTGCGTTGATCCACACATACTCTGCAAAAGCACGCTGCTTTGGGCCCACGCTCGCTAACATATGTAATTTCTCTTGTGCGTGAAATCTCTTGGCCCCGTTTTTCCACCCATGTCCAGCCGCATTCGTTGTTCATGTGCGGCCCCGCCGCCACATTCGTTATTCAAGTGTGGTCCCACAGCGCTGGGGGACGGGGATTGGCTGCCCGCGGACGCGTGGATCCTCTTGGACCATGGTCCCATTAGATGCCTTGGTTGTGGGTCGGAGACCTCTCGGATGCTCGGGTTGTGTGTTAGGGGTGTCAGGCTCGCCACCGTGCCTGGGTTGTGGGTCAGAGACACCTCGGATGCTTGGGTTGTGCGTCAGGGACCGCAGGCTCGCCACCGTGCCTGGGCTGCCGGACAGAGACCTCTCGGATGCCTGGGCTGCGCGTTAGGGACCACAGGCTCGCCACCGCGCCTGGGTTGCGGGTCAGAGACATCTCGGATGCCTGGGTTGTGCGTAAGGGGCGTCAGGCTCGCCACCGTGCCTGGGTTGTGGGCCAGAGACATCTCGGATGCTTGGGGTGCGCGTTAGGGGCGTCAGGCTCGCCACCGTGCTTTGGTTGTGGGCCGGAGGCATTTCGGATGATTGGGTGGCGAATTAGGGATCTCAGGCTCGCCACCATGCCTCGGTTGTGGGTCAGAGACATCTCGGATGCCTGGGTTGCACGTCAGGGACCTCAGGGTCGACACCGTGCCTGGGTTATGGGTCAGAGACATATCGGATGCCTGGGTTGTTCGTCAGGGATTTAATGACATAACAAATGACAACAAAAAAGAACAAACCATATATAAACACAAGTGCCTGGGTTGTGGGTCTGAGTCTTCTCGGGTGCCAAGGTTGTGCGTTAGGGACCTCTGGCTCGCCACCGTGCTTGGGTTGTGTGTTAGAGACATCTCGGATGCCCGGGTTGTGCGTCAGGGACCTAATGGCATAACAATGACGACAAAATAGCGCCCAAAAAATATGAAAACACAAGTGCTTGGGTTGTGGTTATGACACTTCTCGGGCGCCAGGGTTGTGCGTTAGGGACCTCAGGCTCGCCACCGTGCCTGGGTGGCGTGTTGATGCCTGGGTTGTGCGTCAGGGAACTACATATCGCGACGAGGACTGGGGCATCCTGGGGGTGGCGTAAGTGGCGGATCCTCGTGTGGTCACAAGCGCCACCCCCCAGGAACCCCAATGGCCTAAAGGCATAACAAACAACAACAAAAGCAGAGCAACACAAAATATGGAAACACAAGTGCCTGGGTTGTGGTTATGAGACGTATCGGATGCCTGGGCTGTGGGTCGTACACACTTCGGATGGTGGTTTTGCGTCACGGACCTCAGGCTTGCCGCCGTGCCTGGGTTGTGTGTCAGAGACATCTCGGATGCCCGGGTTGTGCGTCAGGGACCTAATGACATAACAATGACGACAAAATAGCACCCAAAAAATATGAAAACACAAGTGCTTGGGTTGTGGTTATGACACTTCTCGGGCGCCTGGGTTGTGCGTTAAGGATTTCAGGCTCGCCACCGTGCCTGGGTGGCGTGTTAGGGACATTTCTGATGCCTGGGTTGTGCGTCACGGACTTCAGGCTTGCCGCCGTGCTTGGGTTGTGTGTCAGAGACATCTCGGATGCCCGGGTTGTCCGTCAGGGACCTAATGACAAAATATGACGACAACATAGCGCCCCAAAAATATGAAAACACAAGTGCTCGGGTTGTGGTTATGACAGTTCTCGGACGCCTGGGTTGTGCGTGAGTGGCCGATCCTCGTGTGGTCCCAAGCGCCCCCCCCAAGGAACCCCAAAAGCGGCGCCGAGGGTGGCGTAAGTGGCGGATCCTCGTGTGGTCCCGAGCGCCACCCCGTCGGCGCCGCGACGAGGACTGGGGCATCCTGGGGGTGGCGTAAGTGGCGGATCCTCGTGTGGTCACAAGCGCCACCCCCCAGGAACCCCAATGGCCTAAAGGCATAACAAACAACAACAACAAACAACACAAAATATGGAAACACAAGTGCCTGGGTTGTGGTTATGAGACGTATCGGATGCCTGGGCCGTGGGTCATACACACTTCGAATGCCTGGGTTGTGGGTCAGACACACAGCGGATGCATGTGGTATGAGGGTCGCCACATTGCTTCGGTTGTGGGTCGCACACACTTCGGATGCCTGGGTTGTGGGTCGTACACACGTCGGATGCCTGGGTTGTGGGGCCTGCGTCAACAACAGTACATGTGTAGCCTTTTTCGGCTGAGCCTCAGGCCAGCCGCTGCGCCAGCCTTGCGGGCGGGTCAACATGAAGCAAAAAGGTTATGAGTTCTCTTTTTTTCGGGTTACCTGCGGCCCTCCCCGAGCCCCGGGGCCGACAAAAAACGCTTCGGGCTTAGAACGCGGCCCCGGAGGGCAGTCCCTGGGGACACAGGACCCGTTTCCCTCAGGACCCGTTTGCTTCGTGTTTAGTCGATCACCTCTCGGATGCTTGGGCTGCTCCTGGCGCTCCTGTGCGGCGCGCGCCACGCAATGCCAGATCCCGCCGGGACGCCTGCGGGCGGCGGGGCAGGGCCAGAGGGCAAGCCCGTCGCCGGGCTCGCGGAGGGCAAGCCCATCGCCGGGCTCGCCGAGCAGGCCGGCGTCGCCTGCAGCGCGGGGGAAGTGCAGTTCATCCACTGTCGGCTGCTGGGAACCATTCCCTGCAACAGGAGCAATCTCGGCGTGAGCGGCATCGCGTGCACGAGGTTGTCGAAAGCATCAAGAAGGACGGGCTGAGCAGGCGGCGCTACCGCGACGCCGCCGTCGCGCGGGTGCCGGATGATAAATTGCAGGCATTCCGGGCTTTCAATAAGACCGTGTGTGAATCAGACCCTCTGCTCCCATTTTTTTTCGCGGACATGCGGTTCGCCCTCCTGACGAAGAACCATTTCGCCCACGCCATCGAGCTCTACACCGAGGGCAAAAAGATGCTGTACGGCACCGACGACCCCATTGTGGCGAACCCACACGACGTGAAGCTCAAGGAGCACATCTCGGAGGGCATCGCGCGCGAGGTCATGCGCCCAGAATTATACTATGACACGACCGGGTTGTTGGCGATTGCGGGCGAGGACAACATGGGCGCGACGACGGACATGGGGGCCAGCGAGATGGAGATCCTGCGCGCGCTACGTGACTGCGCAGACAAGACCAGCCACATCAGAGACTCCAGCGAAAGGTGCAGGGCGGCCATCTCTCTTTGCGACAAGAGGTTCGGCCAGAACACGTACAGCGATAACGACAAGATGACGTTCTTCAATTTCGCCATCCGGGTTCCTGCTGGCCCGGCGGAGGCACTGGGCCAGGTAAATTTCGCCGTTGTTCCCAGCTCCTTATTGAGAGCTCGGCCCAGCGATTTTCACATGATAGCGCCCTTGGGCCCGAAGTTCCCCCACGTGAAGGTCGGCCTGGCGATCTACCAGTACCTCTCGGCAATGCAGCGCGGGAGCCTGAAGAGGCAGTCCGGCGGCGTCGCAGCCGTGGCGCAGAGCATGCGCAAAGAGACGATTGACACGATCGCGGGCTCCTCGGTCATCCAGCAAACGGCTGATAAATTCCTGAAGGACGTCCTCGCTTATTACGAGGTCCAGCAGGCCCGGGGATCGGCGAAGGACGTCCTCATGAGCCGCGCCAAGCTGTTCTTCAGGGTGGGCAAAATCGTTCTCAAGTGGCCTGGAACGCCCGCTCTGGCCAGCACCTCTATGGCCGCCATCGAGGCGAAGTGCGCCGACGACCTGCTCATGTGCGGGGCCATCGCGGAGAAGCCCGCCGCCGCGCTCTACCAGCCGCCGGGCACGGAGTACGGGCTGGCGCCCAAGAAAACCACCATCGGAGGAGGGCGACTTGAGACAGTTTTTTTTTTTCTTTCTCCCCCCGGGAAGGCCCCGTCGCCACGGCAAGGCGCGGCGCGGAAAAAATGAGCACGTGGTCCTCGGAGGAGGTTCGGCGGCCGATGTGTTCGGGTTCTGGGCGGTTTTCTCTCCGCGGCTGTCTCCATTTGCTCTCATCCGACCACCGCGAAAAGGAAGGCAGACGCCCTGGAGGCCTTCGAGGAGGTCGAGGAGGCTTTCCCCCACCTCCCTCCGGCCAGATCCCCCCCTCAAGCTCCCGCTCTTCAGCGCCCGCGCCCCAGCTCCCTCCTTCCAGCTATCCCCCCCCCGGCCCCCTCCCTCCAGCCCCCGCCCTCGCGCTCCCACCCGCCAGCTCCGCCCCTCCGGGCCCCCCCCTCCGGCCCCCTCAGCTCCCTCCTCCCAGCTCTCTCCCTCCGCCCCCCAGCTCCCTCTCTCCAGCTCCGTCCCCCGGCTCCCTTTCCCCAGCTCCCGCCGCCCAGCTCCCACCCGCCAGCTCCCGCCCTCCAGCACGCGCCCCCCAGCTCCCTCCCTCCAGCTCCCACCCTCCGGCCCCCGCCCCCCAGCCCCCTCCCCAGCTCCCTCCCCCCAGCTCTCTCCCCCCGCTCCCTCCTTCCAGCTCCCTCTCCCAGTTCCCTCCCCCCAGCCCCCTCTCCCCCGCTCCCGCCGCCAAGCTCCCACCAGCCAGCTCCCGCCCTCCAGCACCCGCCCCCCAGCTCCCTCCCTCCAGCTCTCGCCTTCCGGCCCCCGCCCTCCAGCACTCACCTTCCAGCTCCCTCCCTCCAGCTCCCTCCCTCGAGCTCCCTCCCCCCCAGCTCGCCGCCGACGAGAAGAAGCCCCCCGCGCCGCTCGACGGCGCGCCGCCTGCCCCAGGCGTCGCCGACGCCTCGACCCACGGAGCCTCGCCTGCCGCGCAGGAGCCCGCTGTCGCCCTGGGCGCCGCGCAGGGGCCGCCTGGCGACAAAGGCGGCCAGAAGCCAACGGAGCCTGCCATCATCCAGCCGCGCGAGATCGACTTGTCGCGCCCCAGGGCGACGCCCGCCGCCGCGACGCCCAGCCAGGACGCGGTCTTCAAGTTGATGATGCAGACGGCCCTGCAGCAGCTGCAGGTCAAACGCAGCGGGTGCGCTGCCAATAATATCACGGCCCACAGCGTGGAGTCCTCAAGCCCGTGCGCGTTTCAGGCGAGGGCCGCGAAAGATTTCGCAGTCGGCGAGGTGGCGTTGATTCCGCGCGGGCCTGTGCGCGACTTCTCGGAGGGGGTCAAGATGAGGAGGCCAAAATCGCATCATCCGCAGCACCCCTACTTGGCAACGACAGAAATCGGAGCCCACGACATCTGCGACGACCTATCGAAATACATCATCCAGAGCCCCCTCGCCCAGTTCACGCCAGGCAAGGAAGGCCCAAGGGGCGTCGCCCTTCTGGGCGGTCTTGGAGGCGACGGCGGCCGACACCACGGTGGGGAACTTGGAGGCGAGGTGCCCGACGCAAGAGATCTCCTGCGAGTTCACGCAGGACGGGCGCAAGCAGCGTGGGAAAGATAATGCGCCAACGGTGGCGATCTTGGTGCCCGCGCTCGCGAACGTGAAGGCAGTGGTGCGCGGGGCAATCTTCGTCGCCAAGCCTGCTGCCATCCAGGACACGTGAAGTGCGTGGAGAGACATTCGCTACTTAGGCATGCGCCTCACACATTGATTGTGCGCGATTTGCTTTATGCGTACCGCGCCAGGTGCGCGAGCCGCGCGCCGACCGCTCTGCGTCGTCAGCCGCGCACTGGGTACTCAGCTGTCCGGCAGTGCAGACGGCCGAACAAACAAAACAAAACAAAAACTAAACTCCACAACAGCAGAAGTGCCAACGCAAACAGAACCAAAAACAATTAAACATAATTGCCTGGGTTGTGGATCAGGGACCAGGAGGGGCCACGAGGGGCCAGGACCCCTGAGCCCAGGAGGGGCCAGGAGGGACCAGGAGGGACCAGGAGGGACCAGGAGGGACCAGGAGAGACCAGGAGGGACCAGGAGGGACCAGGAGGGACTAGGAGGGACCAGGAGGGACCAGGAGGGCCCAGGAGGGACCTGGAGGGACCAGGAGGGACCAGGACCCCTGAGCCCAGGAGGGACCAGGAGGGGCCAGGAGGGACCAGGAGGGGCCAGGAGGGACCAGGAGGGACCAGGAGAGACCAGGAGGGACCAGGAGGGACCAGGAGAGACCAGGAGGGACCAGGAGAGACCAGGAGGGACCAGGAGGGACCAGGGCCCCTGAGCCCAGGAGGGACCAGGAGGGACCAAGAGAGACCAGGAGGAACCAGGAAGACCAGGAAGGACCAGGACCCCTGAGCCCAGGAGGGACCAGACCGCAAACCGGCTTGGGTTGTGGGTCGGAGGCATTTCGGATGCTTGGGTGGCGAGTTCGGGATCTCAGGCTCGCCACCATGCCTCGGTTGTGGGTCAGAGACATCTCGGATGCCTGGGTTGCACGTCAGGGACCTCAGGGTCGACACCGTGCCTGGGTTGCGGGTCAGAGACATATCGGATGCCTGGGTTGTTCGTCAGGGACTTAATGACATAACAAATGACAGCCAAAAAGAACAAAACATATATAAACACAAGTGCCTGGGTTGTGGTTCTGAGACTTCTCGGATGCCTGGGCTGTGCGTTAGGGGCCTCTGGCTCGCCACCGTGCTTGGGTTGTGCGTTAGAGACGTACCGGATGCCTGTGTTGTGCGTCAGGGACTTAATGACATAACAAATGACAACAACAAATATCCGCAGCTGCCCCGCGGCGCCTCCGGCGGCGGCCGCCGAGCGGATGCCCCGCGGCGCCTCCGGCGGCGGCCGCCGAGGGGCTGCCCCGCGGCGCCTCCGCCTCCCGCGCCGACAGAGGCGCCTCGCAGCGCCGCGCTGGCATGGCTTACTTGGCCGCGCTGGCGGCGCAGGCGCCGTCGTCTCCTTTGGAGTCGCCGACGACGGCGACGACGACGACGACGACGACGACGACGACGGAGACGACGAAGACGTGCTCGACGCAAGGTTGCCCGAAAGTTCAAGGTTCAACGATTGGCCGTTGTCACGAGGGTGAATCATTGTAGTTTGAAGGGTTCGCCGTTGTGGCAAGCGCCAAACGTTGAACCTTTAACGATCGGGCCGCCCTGCCTCGCGGCAGTCTGGAGCAGGCTGCGCCCGAGCCTCGGGCTCGGCGACGAGCTGGGCGGCAAGGGCGGTCGTCCGCGTTGCCGATCAGCACGAGGCTGGAGATGGGCGCGCGCATTGGCGCTTGGGTCGAGGAGCAAGCAGCAGCCGGCATTCACTACGCTCGCATGCCGCGGGGTGCCCTCGCCGCCAACATGTTCAACCTGACGCCCTCCAATGCCGCGGCGCGCCGGCTCAAGCGGGTCTACGCGGAGTAGGCCGGCAAGAGCAAGGCTGGGCGCCTGACCCCGGCAGGGGCGGGCGCGGAGGACCGGCAGCAGAGGGGGCGGCGGTCGGACGACCCGCAGGAACGCAGCCAGCTCCAGCGCATGTCCTCGTTGATTGGGTTCGAGCTGCTCCAATGGTTTGTTGACGAAATCGAATCCTTGACGTCGCGCTGTGACTCGTCGCCCATGCTTGAGCACGCAGTGTGGATCAGAAGCCAGCTGCTGCAGCAGGGCCAGCGCGAGGAGGACTTGCCCAAGATCCACAAGGGATGGCTGTACTTGTGGCGCAAGGAGCATGGCATCAGCATCCGCCAGGGCACCACGCACTTCCAGGTCAGCTACACGAAGGCGCTGGACCGCGTGAGGTGCATGTTCGGGAACATCTTTCGGCTGCGCCACCACTGGTCGCGGTGCCACCCAGGGACGGCGATGCGATGGTTCTCGGCAGACCAGAAGCCCAGTTGGATGAACAACGCTGGCCGCAGACCGATGCACGCCCGTAGAGGGTCTCGTCGAGTGGCCGCCAAGGAGAACCATGCAGCCACCAGAGACAGGTACACGATCCTGACGTGCGTGCAGTCTTGGCAGCCTCTGGACGGCGCGGCCCCGCCTGTGGCAGTGCTCTTCAAGGCTCAGAGCGGGGCACGCCTGCGGCAGGAGCTGGAGGTCCCGCCCTGGATGCACTTGCAGTTTCTACCGAGCAGACGACGCGATGGACGCCTTAGGCTTTGCTTTGCAGCCTGCTGCCAAGCCGGAGGATTCAATGGTCATCCTGCTCGACTGGTACTCGGCCCACCTCACGGCAGAGGTGCAGCGGGCAATCAGGGACATGGGCCACGTGGTGTTGCACCATGGCGGCGGCGTGACTGGGCTGGAGCAAATCAATGACACACACTTCCACGCCGTGGTACAGCGCCTCCTGGAGCAGATCGAGACTCGCGTGCTGCGCAAGCAGCGGCAGGAGGACCCCTCCAAGATCGCCAGCTTGTCCCGCCAGGACGTCATCGACGCCGTCGCAGAGATGTGGATGTCCCTGGACCACCGGGGCCTCTCCGAGAAGGGGTGCCGCCAGACCGGGCCGCTCCTGGGAGGCGATGCTGTCCCGGAGAACGTCTTCGTCGACCTCCGGCCCTTCTGGGAGGCGCTGGGCGGGCCGGCACTCTGGCGCCACGCGCGGCAGACGGTGGATGAGATGTGGCCCGCTGGCACGCTGTCCTCGCGGGCCGACGTTGACTTGCAGATAGAGCACCAAAAGCCGCACCCGTGCGCTGAGGAGGGGCTCGAGGGCGCGAACTGGGAGGTCGTCCCGGACGAGGAGGAGGACGACGACGACGGCGGGGACGACCCTGGCGAAGGAGGCATCGTGTTCGTCCTCGCCGTCGTTCCCCCGCGTCCTCCTTCGGGCCCCGGGACCTTCGAAAACCGCCCCGGGACTTTCGAAAACGGCACCGGGACCTTAGGAAACGTCGTCGTCGCCCAGGCGGTGGCGCGGCGGCTCCTGCGGCGCCATCGCAGAGCGGCGCGGCGCCGCCGGGCGCTCCCGGGCGCCGCGCGGGGAGCGGCGCGGCGCCGTCTGGCGCGGCTCCCGGTGGCGCCGCTTGCGGCTCGGCGCCGCTCGCCGCGCCTTGCCGCGCTGCCAGGGACGCCCCAGCGGCGGGCGGAGGCGCGGCGGCTGCTGCGGCGCCGTCGCCCAGCGGCGCGGCGCCGCCGAGCACTCCCGCGAGCGCCTCGGCGGCCTCGGCGGGGAGCGGTGCGGCGCCGTCAGGCGCGGCACCCGGTGGCGCCGCTGGCGGCTCGGCGCCGCTCGCCGCGCCTTGCCGCGCTGCCAGGGACGCCCCAGCGCCTGGCGCCTCCGACGCGGACGACGACTGGCTGAACGACGGCGGCTCGCTGACGGAGGGCGCCGGGCCTGGCGGCGGCGGCGCTTTGCCGGGAGAGGCCCCAGAGGCAGGCCCTGCCGGCCTGGCAGGAGACGGCGGCGCCCAGCTTGGCGGCGCCGGGAGAGACAGCGGCGGCGCAGAGCCGGGAGGGGCACCCGAGGAAGGCCCCGGCGACTTGGCAGGACTCCACGGCGGCGCGTGCACCGAGGCCGCGTACCTGTCCGCCCTGAACCACGCGATGGTCGCGGCGCAGCAGACGCGGAACGATCGTTTCTTGAAGAGCTGCAGAGCCGAGCTCAGGCGGAGCCAGAAGAAGAGCCGAACGTACGAGGCCCCAGAGGCGCAGCGGCTCCGGCAGGCCGCCAAGGATGCGCAGCGGCTGCGCGAGGCGGACCGGCAGGCCGCGCGGGAGGCCGAGCGGGAGAGACAGGCGGCCGAGCGGCGCGAGGAGGTTCTCGTCGTGGACGCGAAACGGCAAGCCACCGAGGCCCGGATGGCGGCTTTGGACAAGGCCGCCGCCGCGCGGAGGGATGCCAATGAGCGGCTGGCTCTGGAGGCGACCCGTCGCGCGAAGGAGCGGTGGTTGCAGGTGGACTACCCCGCGATGTTCGCCGAGCGCTCGGTGGCGCGGAGGCGCCGCCTGCCCCCCCCGGAGGCGACGGCGCTGCAGGACAGGGTTCGCAGGCTGTTGGGCCCCTCGCGGGTCGAGCGCACGATCCGCGTGCCGGAGTTGTGGGTCGACGAGAAGACGCTGACAGCTCCGCGCCTCGCGGCCTCCATGGGCGCGCTGGGGGGCCCCCGCGGCGCCCGGGCACGCGCGTTGTGCACGAGGTCTGGAGGGTTTCTCCGAAGGGCTTCGGCGACCCCGTCCTCCTCCTCCTCCTCCTCCTGGACTTGTTGCCGTTTTTTTCGTGGAGTTGTTCGTCGACCTCCTATCCTCGAAGGTTTTTCTTCGAGTTTGGCCTCGGGGGCCCGTTGTCGGGACCGAGCTTTCAAACAAACCCTGGGGGGCCTCCTAAGGTCGCCTACGGCCCCGGGGGAAACCGCCCACCACGTGGACTCTTCGGCCAGGCCTGGGCGACGGAGGGCGGCCGGGGAGGAGCGGCGGGCGCCGCCGCCGCCCTGCGCCGGCTGATCAACCAGTGCGCCCCCGGCGGCGCGGACCTGTTCCGCAGACGGTGGCAGCCTCCCGCCCTGCTGGAGACGCGCGGCATGGTGGCTCCGAAAGCGTTCGCGTACGCGATCATCTTGCTGAGCACGTGGCTTGGGCCAGAGGCGTACCCGGAGGGCGTGCGCGATGGGCCGCCTGCCATCCCTGCCGCAGTCACTGCGGGGTAGTGCTAGTGTTTGCAGCTCGCCGCCCAAATGTCCGCACGTTGGGTACTGAGCTGTCCGGCAGGGTAGGCGGCCGAAAAAAGAAGAAACAACCAAGCATAATAATGACAACATAACGAAACAACAAACAAAACGAAAGAGAAGAGGAAAATCTGAAAACACAAGTGCCTGGGTTGCGGGTCATAGACACTGCGGATGCCTCGGTTGTGGGTCAGAGACTTCAGGCTTAGGTTTTGTGCCAGAGCCCTCAGGCTAGCCAACGGCTCCGGGGCCGACCCCCCGAGCACGTCGTCGATGTGCCGCCGCGCATGGGGCGCGGAGCTGTCCGGCAACACAATAAGAACCAAAACATTTGAAAACTGAAGTGTCTAGGTTGTAGTCTTGACACTTGTCGGATGCCTGGGTCGTGGGTCACGCGCACTTCGGATGCCTGGGTTGTGGGCCAGACACACTTCGGATGCATGTCGTCTGAGGCTCGCCACCTTGCCTGGGTTGTGTGTCATAGACGCTTCGGATGCCTGTGTTGTGGGTCAGAGACCCGAGGCTTGGGTTGTGGGTCAGCGCCCTCAGGCCGAGCGCCACCCCCAAGGGGCCCCACAAGCGGCGCCGAGGGTGGCGTAAGTGGCGGATCCTTGTGTGGTCCCGAGCGCCACCCCGTCGGCGCCGCGACGAGGACTGGGGCATCCTGGGGGTGGCGTAAGTGGCGGATCCTCGCGTGGTCCCAAGCGCCACCCCCAGGAACCCCAATGGCCTTAACAACAAAAAACGAGCAACACAAAATATGGATACACAAGTGCCTGGGTTGTGGTTATGAGACGTATCGGATGCCTGGGCTGTGGGCCATACACACTTCGGATGCCTGGGCTGTGGGTCATACACACTTCGGATGCCTGGGTTGTGGGTCAGACACACTTCGGATGCATGTCGTCTGAGGCTCGCCACCTTGCCTGGGTTGTGTGTCATGGACACTTCGGATGCCTGTGTTGTGGGTCAGAGACCTGAGGCTTGGGTTGTGGGTCAGCGCCCTCAGGCAAGCCACCGGCCCCGGGGCCGACCCCTCGAGCACGTCGTCGTTGCGCCCGCGCAACGACGACTCGGACTTCATCGTTGCGACACTGCCAGAGCACTGACCGCCGCCATGAACACCAGAACCGTCATCACCATCGCCATCATCATAAGCATTGCCATCATCATTCTCGCCGTCGCGGCTCAAGGGCCCGGCGGCCACCGCAGGCGCGAGCAGCAGAGCACCAGCCGCCGCGCCGCGTCGCCCCGCAGGCGCGAGCACCAGCCTCCGCCAGCGGAATGGGAGATCCGCGGCTAGTCTCCGACGAGGAGCTGGACGCGGAGGGGCCGGCACTGCTGGGCGGGGCCCAAGAAGCGGAGCAGGCGGCGCTGCAGGACTTGGAACGGCAGGCGCTGACGGAAGCAGCCGAGGACCACCCGGGCGAGGAGCAGCCGCCGGAGGCACCGGCGCCGGCGCTCGTGGCAGCGAGCGCCGGCGCTCCCTCTCGCGGCGGCCGCGGGCGCGGAGTTGCCAAGAAACGCTTGAAGAAGGCAGCGCCGAAGCCGCGCGGCCGGACGCTGAAGCGGCGGGGTTCCGGCGGCCCCCCCCCGGGAGTGCAGGCGGTGAGTCGCTTGGCCGCGTGGGGCCCGAAGATAAAGACATCTTGCGTAGTGCGCCCCTTGGTCAAACGGGGCGACCGCCACTTCTTCCCGCTGTCCGAGAATAGTTCATGGCTGCGGCGGGCCTGCGATGAGTCTCGCGGCCAGACTCGCTGGTCCCGTGGTTTCCAGTGGGCGATCAGCAACCTCAGAGGCGTGCTCAAGGAGGGGATCTTCCTCGAAGACGGACCCGAGGGCTCAGTTGCAGGCCTCCGCGCAGGCCGTGGGCTTCGACGAGGAGGGCGGCGCGGGGGATATCAGGCCTCGGCGGCGCGGCACGCCTTCAAACGTCGACTCCGTGACCGCGCAGCTGGGCGACACAGAGCTTTTCGCGAGGGCGCGGGAGAAGCCGTACTTGATCGACGCGACGGAGACGTCGATCATGGCCGTGATCAAATACATCCAGACAAAGATGCGCGAGGACAGCACGACGATCCGGCTGAGGGCGGATTCGCGGTCCAAGCCATCATTCCAGATCGCTTCGGACGGGTGCCCAGCGATCGCGGGCAAAATCACATGGCACCCCTCCGTCAGGGCGTGGAGCGCCCACTACAAGACGACCGACAAGGAGGCCAAGATCAAGAGGCTCGGCGCGAGGGGCCTCGGCATTGGCGAGGATTGGGCGAAGAGCAGGAAGGCCGTGCACCGGGAGGCCATCGCGTTCTGGAACAGAGAGGACAAGAGCACGAGAGATTGCATTCCCGTCCCTGACGAGTGAGTTGCTGCGGGCGCCCCAGCCCTGAAGTTACCGCGAGGAAAGCTCCATGGGATCCAAGACACGTCAGGCAGCAATGGCACTTCCATGAGTACATTACTTTCATGTTGGCGCGCGTTTGGCGCGTGGTCGGGGCGCATCTGGCGCCCTTGCTATCACCCAGAACATGTGAAGTGCGTGGAGAGAGAGAGAGAGAGAGAGAGAGAGAGAGAGAGAGAGAGAGAGAGAGAGAGAGATTCGCTACATAGACATGCGTCGCACACATTGATGGTGCGCGATTTGCTTTATACGTACCGTGCCAGGTGCGCGAGCCGTGCGCCGACCGCTCTGTGTCGTCAGCCGCGCACTGGGTACTCAGCTGTCCGGCAGGGCAGACGGCCGAAAAAAAAAAAGAGTAGTGCAAAACAGAAGAAGTGCCAACGCAAACAGAACCCAAAACATATGAAAACATAAGTGCCTGGGTTGTGGATCAGGGGCCAGGAGGGGCCAGGACCCCTGAGCCCAGGAGGGACCAGGAGTGGCCAGGAGGGGCCAGGAGGGACCAGGAGGGACCAGGAGAGACCAGGAGGGACTAGGAGGGACCAGGAGGGATTAGGAGGGACCAGGAGGGACCAGGAGGGACCAGGAGGGACCAGGACCACTGAGGAGGAGGCGGAGGGGGAGGAGGACGAGGAGGCGGAGAAGGACGAGGAGATGACGACAGGCGCGCGCTTCGTGCCAGCACTGGTCCGGCGGGGCGCCATCGCCGCTGCAGTTGCGGCCGCCGTTGTTGGACAGCAGGAGCAGGGGGAGGTTTTGCAGGCAAGTTTCTCCGTGTTTGGGTTTCTCTTGTCCCGCGCCCGCGCTTCTCCCTCCTCCTCCGCCTCCTTCCCCGCCTCCTCCTCTCCTCCTCCTCCCTCGTCGCCATTTTGGCTCGTGGCCATTTTGGCTCCAGGCTCAATTCTTCGTTGCAGCGTGGGCGAGGGCCCCGTGGGCGAGGGCCGCCTGGGCGAGAATCCCTGCGTTGGTAGCGGCGCTGGCGGCGACTGCCCCGATAGGCACGCGCGGCGGCCGCGGGGTCCAGGGCGATATCCTGCGAAGCTCTTGGGCCTGCGGTGTTTGTTCGGGGCGTGGGGGCGGCGGGGCGCGTGGGCAGCGGGTCTGCGCGGAGCGGGCTGCCAGTCGAGCTCAGCGCCACGCCGTCGAGTCGCGTCACTGCGGCCCCCCTGCATTTGGAAAAAAATCCTGCCCGCGCACGCGCTTTGCGTTTGAGTTGAGCGGCGCGGTCGCGTTGCGCTGGCCACCGTCATTTGGAGAAAAAACGGCCCCTGTCCGCGCGCGCGATTTGCGATTGAGTCAAGGGGCAAGGGCGCGCTGCACTGGCCCCCGTCGTTTGAAAAGAATACGGTTCCTGCCCGCACCAGCGCTTTGCGTTTGAGTCAAGGGGCAGCGGCTGTCAGGACCATGGGAGTTGTGAAAGTTCCGGGGGCTGCCATGGGGAGCCCCCGCATGGGCAATCCCCACTTGGGGAACCCAACGTAGAGAATCGCCATATGGGGAATACCCATACGGGGAATCGCCATGTACGGAATCCCAATGTTGGAAACCCCTTCATATAGGGAGCCCCCATGTAAGGAATCCCCATATAAGGAACCCCATGTATGGGGGCCTTTATATACGGAGTTCCAATATAGGGAATCCTCAAATAAGGGATTCCCTATATGGGGATTCCCTACATGGGGATTCCTCACATGGAGGTTCCTGAAATGGGGATTCCTAACATGGTGATCCCCCAATATGAGGAGTCCCCATATAGGGATTCCTTATGTGGGTTTTCCCATACGAAGATTCCGTATATGCGACGCACCGTATGGGGCATTCCCATATGAGGACTCCCCTTTATGAGGGATCCCCATCTGGGGATTCCCCCATATTGGGGTTCCTTACACGGGGAATCCCCATATGGGCTTTCCCCATATGGGCTTTCCCTATGTGGGGCTTCTCTACATCGGATTCCTTATATGGGGCTTTTCCATATACGCGGCTCCCCTTATATTTTGATTCCTTATATCGGGACTCCCCATATTGGGATTCGCCATATTCGGTTTCTTTATATGGGGTTCCTCATATGGGGATTACCAAGGGGAGCCCCCCTATGAGGAAGCTTGGGTTTCCAAGGCTGTTTCAGTCAAGCTTGCGGAAGCTTGGGTTTCCCAAGCTTGGGGGACCTGAGGTTTCCCAAGCTTGGCGCAGTCAAGCTTGGGGAAGCTTGGGTTTCCTAACCTTGGGGAACCTGGGGTTTCCCAAGCTTGGTGCAGTTAAGCTTGGCGGAGCTCGGGTTTCCCAAGCTTGGGGGATCTGGGGTTTCCCAAGCTTGGCTCAGTCAAGCTGGGGGGAGCTTGGGTTTCCCAAGCTTGGGGAACCTCGGGTTTCCCAAGCTTGGCTCAGTCAAGCTGGGGGAAGCTTGGGTTTCCCAAACTTGGGGAATCCGAGGTTTCCCTAGGCCCAGGTTATATACTTTCAAGCGGGTGGGCAAGCGGGTGTCCACATCGTTTTGTCTAGTTTTTCGTGTTTTTTTTTTTTTTCTGAGAATTTTCGGGTTGAAGCTGATGAACTTCCGGGATCATTTCAGGGGTTTTGGGAACAATTCGGAAGATTTCTGTGGTAATTAGTGGCACTTTCAGGAACGATTCGGGCGCACCGCCTGTCTTGCACGCGCCGCCGTGCGCAAAACATTCCGCCTTGCACGCGACCGTTGCGCAAGGCGTTCCGTCTTGCATGCAAAGTGCGCGGCCGCGGCGCCTAGCACGGCTTTCAGAGTCTCCGCGAGGCGTCGCCCGGGGGCCGCGGGCTCGCGTACAAGATTTCGTCGACCTGTCTTGCACGCGCCGCCGCGTGCAAGACATTCCGCCTTGCGCGCGACCGTTGCGCGCAAGGCGTTCCGCCTTGCATGCGAAGTGCGCCGGCCGCGGTGACCTGCGCGCCTTCCAGAGTCCCTGTGAGGCGTCGCCGGGGGGCCGCGGGCTTGCGTGCAAGATTCGCCGAAAGCGTTCGGGGCGCCTTTTCAGACGGTGTGATTCAGGCGTAATTCATATAAAATTGAGCGATTTAGGCGCGCAGTGCATTTAATAGTGAATGATTTTGCTAGAGTCGTTTACCTTGCGCCGAGTCGTCACGACAGAAACCGACCGAATATATCTATATATATATATATATGCATATGTATGCATATATATATATATATATATATATATATATATATATATATATATATATGTATATATGTATATATATATATGTATATATGTGTGTATATATATATATATATACATATATATATATATATATATAGTGCGGAGGGGGTCCTGGACCAGGGGGGGCCTCACTTTGCCCAGTGGCTGTGGTCACCCCCCCGCCGGAGACGCCAGGACGCTCCCAGGACCGTGTAAAATGGTTCCAGGACGCCCTCAGGACAGCCCAAGAGAGGTCCGAAGCGGCCCGGGAGCACTCCAAAACGGTTAAAAAGCTGCCAAGGCGTCCCAGCAGGTCTCCGACAGCACTCTCGGAGGGGCCCAATCGGAAATTGTCACTGATTTTTAGTGGGTTTTTGAAGGGTTTTGGCGTTCTCCCCAGTTCGGCTTCCAGACGCTCCAAGGCGGCCCAAAAGGCCCGAAAGATCGCCTCAAGACGAGCCCAGAGGCCCCCAAGAGACCACCGAGACAGCCCAAGAGGGCCCCAAGACGGCCCAGGAAGCTTCCAAGACGGCCCAAAACAGCTCCCAGAACACTCCAAGAGGAGCCCCAGATGGGGAACACGAACTGACATTTCGAGCCCTCGCCCACCAGAAGCTCCCAAGAGGCCCCCAGGAGTCCGCAAGAAACTTCGAGAGGCCCCCAGGAAGCTCCAAGAGGCCTCCAAAAGGCGCCGAAAGGGCCCCGCAAGGCTTCCAGACGCTGGTGATAATGACAATGATGATTATGCAGGGCGGCCTCAGGCCCACAACCTAAATCCCCAATACTGCTCACGCGGCATGCAAGACGCTGCGGAGATATCCTCGAGTTCGGCGGGGGAGCTTCGGAGACGACGGTGACGAAAATGATGACGATGATGACGACTATTATGAAGTTGACGACGACGACGACGACGACGACGACGACGACGACGACGATGATGATGATGTTGATGATGATGATGATGATGATCATGATCATGATCATGATCATGATGATGATGATGATGAGGAGGAGGAGGAGGAAGAAAATTATGATGATGATGTTGACAGTGGGAATGATGATGCTGATGATGATGATGTTGATGATGGTGATCGTGATGTGAGTGATGGTGATGATGATGATGATGGTGGTGATGCTGACGATCATGATGACGATGACGTTGATGCCGTTGAGGATGGTGATGCTGACGATCATTATGATGATGCTGCTGATGGTCAGGATGATAACGCCGATGCTGATAATAATGGTGGCGATGCTGTTTGTGGTGCTTGTGATGCAGGGGTGGGCGGATGATGAAGATGATGACGATGATGATGACGATAACCATGACGAGATCACGACGACGACGACGACGATAATGATGACGATGGCGATGATGAGGATGATTATGTTGATAATTCAGGTGACGATATTGACGATGATGACGACGATGGCGATGATGACGATGGTGATGACGATATTGCTGCTGATGGTGGTGATGGTGACGATTGTGATGATGGTGATGGTCATGGTGATGCTGACGATGCCGCTGACGATGACGCTGGATAGGATGGTGATGAGGATGGCGATGATGACGATGACGATTATCCTAGCTAGAACTTGAGCGCGCGCGAAGCGCGCGTGATGGTTCTAGTATATATATAATGTGTACCTGAACATCCACTTATATATACACATATGTATGTGTGTACGTGTATGTCTCACCCTTGTAGTCATCCCCTCTAACACTCAAGTGCTCGCCTCCCGCGCTTCTCTCCTCGTCTTCTGCTCCTCCTCCCCTTTCCCTCCTCCCCCTCCGAACCCTCGCCCGAGATTCTCGAGCCGCACCCTCTTCACACTCAGCGATTCTTTGCAACATGTCGGGCCCGGGGACTCTCGCGGATTGATCAGAAAGATCGGGTCTGGGGTTTCTGTCGTGATCCCTACAATGTTGTATTTGTTCGTGGTGTCGATCTCAGGGCCCGCCTCCCCCTCATCCCCATTCTTCCTTCGTATCTTTTTATCCAGGGGAGGGCGGCGTGGGTCAGGACGGGAAGAGGGCGCGATGAGGACGGAGGACGAGGGAGAGCAGAAGAAAGATGAGCGGCGATAGGTTAGGATGTGGAGTAAGGTGCATGAGGAAGAGGGGGAACAGCGGGACCATCACTGCGGTCGCCGCAGGCAGTGTTCCAGAGTGCCCAGGGCACGGGTTGGGGCCCCACACCCCACGTGTGTGACGTGTGCTTACGGTGATCCCGTCCCTTCTCCCTCACCCTCCTTCGCCCCCGCCATTTGTGGGCTTGTATGGCACTCGAGGTTTCTTCCGCCGCCTCTCTGCTATCATTGACCGCGCGCCAGGGTGCCAGACCTGTCATCTGCATGTCGGCAGACGTCTACCCGTCCTTGCGCTGGGATCAGCCGTCATCCGTTGTTGGGCGCGGTGTGCTCTGCCAGCTGCACCGTGAACAGGTGATGTTCGCACGCATGGCGGATGGCTCACACGCCTGCCATTCTAAAAAGTCCGGTCGCCTGGCATCGCTCGGGCGTGTGCATTTTTTCTCGGCGAGGGCCATCGAGGAGCATCCTTGATCACTTGGCGAAACAACCACGCACGAAACCAAAAAAGCACAGGGAATGGACGTCCGAGCGATGGCCAGGGTCGGCGTGCCTGGAATTCCCATGCTGCCTACGATTCGATGGACTCGCACATGAGCGCAGATGCGATCGCGCGCGGCATCGATCGCTCCGAATGCCTCGCACGCGCTCCCAAGGGCGACTCCCCCCCAGTCACGCACGGTCCCCGATCCCATCGGGTCGATCACGCGAGCGGCCCGCTCGATCTACCACCATCGAGGGCGATCTGTTTTTGTGGGCAGCCACTGGGAGGAGGGACCCAGCCCCGAGCGGAGGCCGACGAGGCGAACATGAAGGCATGGACGGAACAAATGCCCTCCCCTCAGTAGCCGCGCGCGTGCCCGGGCGGCGGCCCTTGCGCCCAGACTCATCGGGGGCGGCCAAGGGGGGGGGTGATGGCTAGTGGGTGGTGGGATCATGGAGGGGGCCGTGGTATATCCACAGATCTCATGGCGCCTCTTCTTGTTTCAATGCGTCCACTGCCCCTCCCCCCCCCTTTTCCTCTCGGGAAACTAAGCGGTACAGTCGGGGCCCTGAAGATGGAACCCTTTCGGTTGGGGAGGGGCTCCGCGTTCCTTAAGTGTTTCACAGCTTGTCTCAGGTTTTCCTTATGTTTTCGATAGGAAATCGAAGCTTAACTTATGGAAAAAAGGGGTCTCGTTCCTTATGTAGGGTTCCTTAGGTCAACGCCCCGACTGTACCGATACCGCTACTCCCCGAACCTCTCCAGGGGCGCGTTCTGACCAGAATTTCGGGACGAATCTGGCGGTGGCGACGAAAGCCGCCCCGGAGGTATGGGTACCTTTTCCTCTTCCCCCCTCCTCTGGACGGCGCACATGCCTCGGGTCATGATTTGCGACCCCCCTTCTGTGAGGCCCCCCTCTCGGACGCCTCCAGGACACCTGGTGCCCCGAGCCCCAGAACCCGCGGGGCCTGGAGCTCTCGCATGCAGTGACGAAGCGCCCTGGCCTTCACAAAATGCCACCGAACAATGTAAACATTTCTGTTCAGGTGATCCGTAAGGGCTTCGCCCCCTGCCGCCAGCCCCCTCTCAATCATAACGGGATGTATCATCGGGACGATCGAAATGGGTACGATGCCCAACAGCAGTTCGTGTTCTTTTTGAACAGGACTCGCTGTCCGCGAGGCCGCGGGCGTTGTTCTTCGAAGACATAAAGCCGCTTGCCCAACAGCGGCCGCTGACGGTTTTGGACCTTTGTTGTTGGGCATTGTACCAAATTGTTCGCACACGTATCGGGCGTCCAAATATCAGAGTCGCGTCGGTGCGTCTCGGCGTTGCTTTGGCGCATCTGGGAACGTCATGCGGGGGCAGGTCGGAATCATCAGTCCATATGGAGACGTTGGCGTTATCGAAGACGTCTACGGCGAATCACCGCCGCCCCCTGCCTTGGTGGAAGCGCCTATGTGGCCGAACGTTGAGGCCAGACCTGCCAAGCTATCGGACCATGTGTTCCCCGAATCGGTTTGGAAAGCCTTCGGGGAACACGTGGGCATCTTGAAGGGGATCTTGGCCGCCTGGAGGCCACTTTGACTCTTTCGGGCCTTCTTGGAGGACGTCTTGGAGGGCTCTTGGGCCGTCTTCGAGGCCATCTTGAGCGTCTTGGAGGCCTCTTGGGCCGTCTTGGGGGCCTCTTGGGGCCGTCTTGGGCGCCTCTTGGGCCGTTCTAGGGCCATCTTGGAGGCCTCTTGGGCGATCCTTGGACGAACTTTGGGAGCTCTTGGGCCGTATCGGGCCGTCGGAAGGCCGAAACGAAGCAAATGTCAAAATCCTTCAAACACCTTCGGAACATCAGTCTTGTTGGCCTTTTCTGGCCTTCCTGGAGGCCCGCTTGGAGGCCTCTTGGGCCGTCTTGGGCCAGCTGCGAGCCACCTTCGGCCATCTTGGTGGGCTCCTGGCCCGTCTGACGCCGTCGGAAGCCGTTTCGGGGGGCTTTCTGGGCCGACTTGGGGCCCTCTTTGGGTGCTCCAGGGCTGTCTATGAGGCCATCTTGGGCGTCTTCGAGGCCTCTTGGGCCGTCTTGGGGCCGTCTTGGGGGCCTCTTGGGCTGTCATGGGGCCATCTTGGAGGCCTCTTGGGCGATCTTGGGGCGACCTTGGCGGCCTCTGGGGCCGTCACGGGCCGTCGGAAAGCCGAAAAGGAGCAAATGCCAACATCCTCCGAACATCCAATGAAAATCAAGGATTTTGGCCTCGTCGGGCCTTCCTGGAGGAATTCTTGGAGGCCTCTTGGGCCGTCTTGGATGCCTCTTGCGGGTCTTTTGGGCCGTGTTAGGCCATATTTTGGGCCTTCTGGGATGCATCTTGGGGCCATCTTAGCCGTCTTGGAGGCCATTTTGGCTCTGTTGGAGGCATCATCTTGCAGGCCATCTTGGGCCATCTTCGCGATGTTGTGAGGATGTCCCGAGCGAAACGGCCGTTTTTGGCGATGGCAACCACCTCTTCCGGGTGGCCGGCCGGACGGGCCGAAGCCCCAGGGGGAGTTCTTTTGGAAAAGAACCAAAACCAAAACCGAAAGGGTTCAGCACGCCAGGCACCCCTGTGATGAATCAACAGGGGGCGGCGGATAAATCAACAGGGGGCGGCGGATCGAAGACGCCTACCTCGAATCACCGCCGCCCCCTGCCTTTGTGGCCGAACGTTGAGGCCAGACCTGCCACGCTATCGGACCATGTGTTCTCCGAATCGATTTGGAAAGCCTTCGGGGAACACGTGGGCATCTTGAAGGGGATCTTGGCCGTCAGGAGGCAAGTTTGACCCTTTCGGGCCTTCTTGGAGGACGTCTTGGAGGGTTCTTGGGCCGTCTTGGAGGCCATCTTGAGCGTCTTGGAGGGTTCTTGGGCCATCTTGGGGCCGTGTCTTGGGCCTCTTGGGCGCCTCTTTGGGGGCATTAGGCCGTCTCGGCCCGTCGGAAGGCAGAAAAAGAACAAATGCCACAATTGGAGGCCTCTTGGAGGCCCTCTTGGAGGCCTCTTGGGCCGTCTTGGGCGATCTTAGGGCCATCTTCGGCCGTCTTGGTGGGCTCCTGGCCCGTCTGATGCCGTCGGAAGCCGTTTCGGGGGGCCTCCCTGGGCCGACTTGGGGCCCTTCTGGAATGCTCCAGGGCCGTCGGGCCTTCTTGGAGGACGTCTTGGAGGGCTCTTGGGCCGTCTTGGAGGCCTCTGGGGGGCCTCTTGGGCCGTCTTGGACTCTCTTGGGCCGTCTTGGAGGCCGTCTTGGAGGCCGTCTTGGACCATCTTGGGCGGACTTGGAGGCCATCTTGGGCCATCTTCGCGATTTGTTGATGATGTCCCGAGCGAAACAGCTGTTTTGTTTGGCAACCACCTCTTCAGGGTGGCCGGCGGGACGGGCCGAAGCCCCAGGGGGAGTTCTTTTGAAACAGAACCAAAGCCAACTCCCATATAATTTGGCACGCCAGGCACCCCTTTGCTAAAGCAAAGGTGGGCGGCGGATCCTAGTGGCCTTCGGCCCATCCCGCCACCGTGCCTGGGTTGTGGGTCTGAGGCCTCTTGTACACGTGTTGTGGTGTCGTGGGGAGCCTCTCGGGGGCCTTTTGGAGGCGATTTGGGCGCCTCTTCGGGGCCTCTGGGGGCCTCGTTGGGTAGCTTTCGGGCCTCTTGGAGGCCTCTTGGGCGCGTCCTGGGCGCGTCTTGGGGCCTCTTGGCGGCCTCTTGGGGCCTCCTGGGGGCTTCTCGGGGCACAACAAATATAGAATGTTCGGTTCGTGGTCCCCTGCTTGGGTCTCTCTTGGGGCTCTCTTGGGCCGTCTTGAGCGCTTCTTGGGCCATCTTGGATCTCTCTTGGGCCGTCTTGGAGGCGTCTTGGGCTGTCTTTGGGCGGTCTTGGGCGCTTCTTGAGCCGTCTTAGGTCGTCGGGAAGCAGAACATGCGAGAATGCCAACAGCAGTGACAAACCGTTGTAAAATCGACGATGTTGCCTCTTGGGCTCTCTCGGCAGGCCTCTTGGAGCGCTCTTGGGGCCTCGTGGGTGGGGCCCTCTTGGGCCGTCTTTGGGCGCGTTGGAGCACTCTTGTCCTCGGCAATGCGGATATGGCGTAATTTCTGGGGTTAAGGGCCTCGGGGACGCAAATATCGCGTACTTTGCTGCGAGAGATTCTGGCCTCGGGGGCGCGAGTCTCATGTATGTTCACGTGTTCCACGGCCCCGCAGGAATTCAGACAACGCGACTCGGGCGTGGTAGCCAGGCCGCTTGTCGGCTCCCCTCCGCGCGCGGTCTTCAACAATTTACAATAGGAAGCAGGACGTAGAACTATCACAACAATGGCCATTGGTATCTTGAATTGGAGAAGGGAGCAGCAAGCCTAAGCCTCGCAGCCTAATGGCCCCGCAAGCGGGCCGGCGGATTAGTTTAAGCGCGCTTTGAACATGTCTTGCTGATGCAGTCTTGTTGAAAGCGCTGGTTTAGATTCATGGCGTAATTCGGCCACTGGCGGAAGGGGGGGTGGAAAGGGAGGAAGGCTTCGCATAAACTCCCTTGCTCCTTAGAAGGCGCGGGCCTTGTCTACAGATGTCGGCCCGGCGCCTTTTCAGAAGCAGCCTCATTTGAAGAAGCCTTTCCCCTCCCCCTATTTGGCGCGCCGCTAATCAATGCATGCAAATAGTTCATTCCCCGAGAGGCTGTTTTTTTAGACTCAGGCGAGTTTACTTGCATGCCCCCCTTCCTTCGCAGCCTTTGCAGACAGCGCTGGGCCGAGCAGGCGTGCAAGCGAGGCCCGACTTGCGTGGAGTCCATCTCTTCTTTGGGGCATCGCCACGCCTCCTCCCCCCCTCCATGCAAGTCAACTTACCAGAATCGAAACGAAACTGCCTCCATTGCCGTCTTTTCGTCCTCCGATTTCGGCCTCCCGGGGGGCCGGCTTCGGATCCAGGGCGAAAGATTGCAGCCGGGGGGCGAGGATCCAGGGCGACCAGGATTGGAATCATGCGTTCAAGAGCGTTCCAGAACGCTCTCAGGGCGTCTCAGATCGTTTTGGAACGGCCGCGGCACCCGATACATCCTCCAGAACCGCCAGACCTCACAGATCCCCGATTTGTCCTGGTCCGATTCTATCTCGGTCTTGGCTTCGTCTTGGCTAGGACCTGAGGGGCGCGCCGATTAAACAAACCACACCGCCGGATGTAGCATCGTAGCTCCCTTGCGGGGCCTGGAGCTCGGCCTCGGGACGCGCAACCTCTGGGGAAGCTGGCCGCCGTCGTGCGCTCCAGGGGCGCCGAGTCGCGAGGCCTCTGATAGGGTCCGAGTGGATGGGGTTGGAGGATCGCGCCACATCGCCGATGCATCGGCGATGCGGCTCGATTTGGAGCCCGATGTTCTCCACACCAACGGCGGCGATCCATCTTCGACGTAGCCTGTGCATCACCGATGTGATGTGTCGGCAACACATGGCGATGCGGCGCGATCCTCCGTCCTCATCTTTTTGGACCAGTTGTCGGTTGCATCCAGTGGAGTGGAGGCGTCGCGCGCGCTCGCTGGGCGTCCTGGGGATGCTCCTTCTTCAGATGCTCGGACGTTGATCGAATGATTGCAGCGTCCAGGCGGCATAGGAAGTAGCAACGACATGAAGCAACCGGCTTGGGCGATATGCCCCCAGCAAGGTTGCTATCAAGTGCCGGAACAGGAACGGCACGAGGCAAATTGCGATAGTGGATGCCTGTGAGGGCTTCGTGTAACTATGTTGGCAGCCTTCGAAGGACGTGAGGCGGCCGTGACACGGTTTCTCGCGGTTGTGGGTGAGACAGGCTTCATGTAATTTTGCGGCATTACAGGTGGATCGGCAATTCTTTTATTCTGAGGGAGGGGGGGCACGAGGTGGAGGCGAGGGAAATGTGCTCAAAGCACTGGTCCAACATGCCGAACATCCATGTCGCCCAGCCTCGGCGTCCCAGAAAGTCTGGCGCCATGTCAAACGTGTGCCGATCAAGGAGATAGTAGTTGGGGCAAGGTGGGCCAGGTCACCACCCAATTCTTGAGCGATCGATGTTCTGCATGGCTCGCGTATTTAATCACATTCCGAAGCACATGGGTGATTGCCACATTGGAGAGTCCTTTCACATGTGCCGCATTTTATCGCGCCAGCGCGTGGCCGTTGATGCACGCACGTGGCCGCGCCTATTGACGTGTTATTGTGGCCCGATCAGAGAGAGCGAGGAAGAGAACTAGGACGAGGAAAAGATGAGTGACAGGAGGCGGAAGTGGAGGAGGAGGAGGAGGAGGAGGAGATGGAGGAGAATCTTCGTGCTCCCCCCCGCTGGATGCAGACAAGGACGATCTGGGCTATGATTCCTGGGCCGACCTGCTCCCTCCAAAGATCCGAAGCGGGACGACAAAAAACACTGCGACGACGTCGAGGCCGCTGGCGGCGGCGGTGACGACGACGGCGACGCAGACGACGGCGTCGGCTACAGTGGTGGCCCATGCCAAGAGACACCCTGCTTGCCTCCAGGGTGCCCGGGGTTTCTTGGATTTCGCGATGGTTTTGCGATGCAGAGCGCAACGCTCGCACAGCAAAACTTGGGGGACACCCTGGGTTCGCAGGGTTGGGTTTCTTGTGGAAGGTTTCTCGTGGACAAGCCTCCGCTGCCGCTGTACGACGGCGGCGATACTCCGGGCCCCCCCAGTGCCCGTTCTGGGGCGCGCTCCCTGGGCTGCAACACATGAGCGACGCAAGAAACAAGCGGGGTCGTCTGCGCCGACGGTGGCGCGTTTGCTGCCCGCGCAAGAAGCCATGTGCTTTTTGTCAGGGTATCCTGGGTTTCTTCACTCGTCGCGCTGCGCGGTGACTTCCCGCAGCCACTGAAAGAGCTGCTGCGTTCAGGGTGCTTTGGGTTTCCCCTCAGGCGTACCTCGCGCGCGGGTTCTCAGGGTTGGGTTTCTTGCGAGGGTTTCTTGCGGCCGCGCCCCCACTGCAGCGTTCCGCGCGGGCGGCACGCGTACGCCACCGCGTAAGGCCGCTGCGTCCTCTCGCGCAAGATCCGTGTTGTGGAGCGTCGCTCGAACGGGGAGGCGGCGAGGGCTGCCGACACGGGGCCCTCCAGGGCCCCTCGGGGGGCCCTCGAGGGGCCCAGAGTGGGGCCTTCGGGGCCCGAAGAGGGCACCTTTCTTCCCCTCCCCCCCAGTTGCAGCAGGTTCGCGTCGTGCCGACCGGCGGCGACCCCTGCGCGCGCGTTCAAGGTTGAACGCCGCCCGTGGCCCAGAATTGGCCCGTCGTTGAACGGTCCAGCGTTCACGGAACGGCCGATCGTTCGAGTTTGAACGATCCCCGCGGCGTCAGGAGCCAACGCTGGGTGTCGACACGGCGCGAACCTGCCGTAACGCTCCCCCAGTACTTCGCGCCCAGGCTCCAGCCAGAATCTCGAGAGGAAGCCAATGCCGCGGACGCGAGAAGGCCCCGGGGGCCCTCCAGGGGCGCACGACTTGGGGTCCATCCTCGCATTCGGATCGTCGAACCTTGGCATCGCCCGGAGGTGAGCACTTTTTGTGTGGCGAGGCCAACGCCAGCAAAGTCTGGAGCATCTCGGAGCATGCTGGCTCACCTGCAAAGCACAAGCACACGACACCAAACAGTGTACTGTGAAAGGGCGTCGGAACAATGGCAAGAGAAGCCTCCTTGGCGCAGCTTCATCGCCAGGGCGACGTACGCGCTCGGAAAAAGCTTATAATGCAGGCTCCTCGGCGGGCGTTTTCTGGCCATGCCTCTCGGGCAAAATATACATGTACCAGATTGTGTATTACACGTTCGGGGCAGACGTGCGTTTCAAGCAGAGGTACTCAGTATTGGTTGATGGGCTTGTTCGCCGCCACCACCACCACCATAAGTTGGAGGGGGGAAGAAGGTGGAGGACGAGGAGGAGGAGGAGGAGGACCCCCTCCCCCTCCAACTTATGGCGGTGGTGGTGGTGGTGGATAACAGAGCAGGCCCATCATTAGTATGTCTTCGCCAGCAACCCTCGAGCGGGGGGGCGGGCCCGGAAGTTGGCCGCCGAAGCGGCAGGGCCGTTTCTTCGCCGTTGCCGAAAAGGTGTTTCTGTTGAAAGTGGAAGCGGTGAAGAAGTAACGACAGGAAACGGCATCGCAAACGGTTCCAGGATTGGAGGAGCTAGAATTGGAACCGGCGCGCAAGTTGCGACGGAGCGGGACAAGAAACAACAGTGCCGGAACCACAATCAACGCGCTTAGTAAGGGCTCGGGCCTTCATCCAGGGTGCCCTTGTGTCCTTGCCTCTGCGGCCCGTCCTTCGCCGTTCTCGCTGGTCGCCCGCAGCCCAACAAGTCAGAAGTTCGGCCTCCAAGGGTCTTCCGTCCTTACACATCCTTACCACCCGTCCTTAGCACACGTTTCCGCTGCAGCCACAGGACGGCAGGCAGGAAACGGCAAAGAAACGGCCCTGTCGTTTCCAGGGCCAGCTAGTCTGGTTGACCCCAAAGGGGGTCCAGCGACAATCCGTAGCCATTTTGGCTCGAGCCGTTCCAGCGCCCCTGGCCCCAGCTCTACGAATCCTGCTCTGGATCTACGTCGGGCCCGCCGCAGCAGGGCGCGGCATGGCTTCCACTGGGGGGTTCGAAGACTTGATCTGGGAGAACAACATGCGCTTGAAGGAAGCACGTGAAGCAGGGAACCAAGAGCAAGTCTCATACTTCGAGCGGAGAGGCCAGGAGATTGTCGAGAATGAGATCAACAGTATTAGGCAGCAAGGAGCTCGATTTGAAGCCCTTCGCCAGGAGCAACGGGACTTTAGCGATCGCGTGCGGGCTGACACTGAACGGCGTCGCCAGCTGTTCCATCAGCAGAATATGCTCAAATTGCAACAGACTGCAGCCATTATTAATTCGCTTCTCCGCTCTGAGCGTTAAGCCGAGCCTCGCCTGGGCAGCGAACAGGCGCTTCTCGCGCGTGAGATTCCCTGAACACGTTCAGCAGTTGCGCGCAGCGGGGTTGCCCATCGTCGTTGGCGCGTGCTACATCGGTAATCAGAACGCGCAACCGGTCTGTTCAGTGCATTGAGGGATCTCTCACAGGGGAGGTATCCTTGACACTGTCTGACACATTGTACATAGCGTGGTTCTGATCGGATCGGAGCGTGTGCCAACGCTAAAAAACAATGGCATGTGACATGTTGCAGGTCGACAGCACATCCAGCCCGAAAGGCGTTTTAGAAAAAGGGGGTCCAGCGACCAGATGGTAGTACAATAGATTTGTGGGGTTGCACTAGACTTGTTGGGGCGTGCGCTAAATACGTTCTGGTGCGCAAATGCATTGCTGGGCTTTCGCGTGCAATGCGTTACGGTGGTGGCATTGGTTAAGGAATGTGCCCAGGAGGCTTCAGACTCTGGAGGATTCCTTAGCTGATGAGGGCGGTGGCAATACCCCTGGCCGATGCACAATTGGAGTTCCACTGGCTTCCAGACCACGGATTCCTTATCCAAGGCTTCCTTATTCAATGCCTCCGCCCTAGTTGCAATACAATGCAATACAATTCTCTGGCGCACCACATTTTCAGTACGATTGTCCCAAACCCACTTCGCCAACCCTTTCTTAAGCTGGACCCCCCTCTGGGTCAACTAAAGTAAAACGGCAGAGCGCAAACGGCACAGGAACGGCCCTGTCGGTTCCAGGGCCGGCGACGGGCGGGCCAGCGGGCGGGCCGCGCGGCCCGCTGAGGAACAGCCTCGGCTACAAGGGCAGCTCCCAGGACCCCCTGAAGCGCGGCGTGGAGGCGCGGACGCCGCTGGCGGCCGCCGTCGCCTCGGCCCCCTTCTGCAGGGGGGCGGAGATCAGAGGAGGAAAAGGCACCCATACCTCTATCCCTCGCCCGTTTTCTCATTTTTCGGCCTCCTGGGAGGCCCTCGTCGCCACCGCTGAATTCGCCTCGAAATTCTGGTCAGAACTCACCCCGGGAGAGGCCCGGGAAGTAGCGGTATCGGTACCTTCTGGCATCCCCAGGAGATGTGACACCACCATCACCACTATTATGTTCCAACCTGCAGTAGCCTTGATCATTGATCACCATACAATATGTTCGAGCACCATGAGAGTGCCGAAACTGGAGGGCTTTCACGTGTCGGACCCTGGGAGGCGATGCCCGTTCGACATTGTTTCGATACTTCTCTTGGTATTCCAAATTCTTCCAGGGACGTGGTTCTTCAGCACGGTGGGAGCAGCATAACACAACCAGGGGGGGCACCTCCAGCGAGGAGGTCCAAGATGCCTCCCCGAGCTAGGGACAAGATCAGGGATGCCTCGAGCGAGAGGGGGGGGGCGGGCCACACCACTGGGGGGGGCACCCCCTTCCGGCTCCTCCCGCTGGTGGTCCCGGGTTGTGGTGGTTCCGCTTCCCCCTGTTCCTGCTCCTCCGCCGCCGGCCGCGGTCCTCGGAGGGGCGGGGAGGAGAAGCGATACCAACACCACCAGGGGGCCCACCTCCAGCGAGGAGGTCCACGATGCCTCCCCGAGCTGGATGCTGAAGATGTCTCGAGCGAGAGGGGGGGACCACACCACCAGGGAGACTCCCCTTGCCTCCTCGCACCTCCTCGCCCTGCTGGTGTTGGTGTCGCCGTTCCTTGTTCCCACTCGGAGGGGCGGGGGGCCAGAGCCTGCCGCACCGCGGTAAAATCAGGACGGGCGTGTCTGTTTGCTTGCTTCAGCCTCTGGGGGCCCGTACCTCGGCGGCGAGCCAGGGGTCGCAGGCGATTTCTCTCCCCCAATCCCCGACTTCCGCCAGAAAAGTTTGGTCGCTCAGAAAAGGGGAGGAATCTTGGCATACATCCCGAGGGGGCTATTCGGACGCACCCCTGTCGAGGATGGACGCCCCCCCCTCGTATATCCCAGGGTTGGGCCCCAAATTGTTGATCCTCTCGAAAACCTCACGGAGCCTGGGATAGGGGTCGACGCATCCCCTGTTAAGGGGGGGAAGTGAGGGGGGGCGGGCCTGCTCAGAGGGCGGCGGAGAAATCATCAGAAGCCCTGGCGCCCGCCTGTTTCAAGGGCCGAGTGGTTCTCCGTGCCCTCCTTTGCCGAGTGGCGGGCGGACGGCGAATCCATCATCAACGTAGTTACTTAATGCTTCTACCCACTTGTTTCGCACGATCGGTAACGAGCGAAGATGCAGAAAACGGGGAGCAGGAGGAGGAGGAGGACGAGGATGAGGAGGGGCTGTGGAAATTGAGGTGTGGGAGGATGCGGAAGGTCGGAGACCGCAGTGGCCTTCTTTTTGTCCGCTGGAGACGCGAGGAGAAAGCCGATTCACTGTCCGCAGCTATCATATTGCGAGCGCCCTGATTGTTCGTGTGGCGACCCCCTGGGCGCTGATGTTCCAACCGCCCAGAGTCTTTCTGTCCGCCCTGGGGTCTTCATACATCTCATTCAGCATGACACTGCGGACCCGGGGAAGGCGTCGAGAGTTCAGCGGGCCTTGAATTGGACATCTTCAGGGCTTGCTGGCGGCCTCGGGGGCCTTGTTTGGGTGACAGGCTCGAAATGTCAGTTCGGGTTCCCCTTTTGGGGCCGTCTTGGGCTCTCTGGGGCGCCTCTTGAGAGGCCGTGATGCCGCGCAGCGGGCATCAGTGGGCGTCTTCGAGGCGATGTTGGGGGCCTCTGGGGTAGTCTTGGAGCGTAAAACCAACGTTTTTGCTGACTGGGGCCCTTGTTGGGGCTCTCTTAGAGCCTTCCTGGAGCGTTGTGAGGGCTCGTTGGGCCGTCTTGGCGCTTTGTTGGGCCGTCTCGGGGTGCTCTTTGACAGTCCTGAGGCTTTACAGGAACCTCCATGGGCTGTCCTGCGGCAGGGGCCTCTGGCAGGCTCACGCGGCATACCCCGACGGCGCCCCGGGATTCTGGCCAGTTTGGGGATCGGGAGCCTTGAGAGGGGGGTCAATGCAAAAGGGGGTCAGCCAGAGCCCCGGATCTTGCAGGATCCTGCAGGGACAGTGTCGCATTGACCCGGGTTGGGTGCAGGACCCTGCAGGATCTTGCAGGATCCTTCGCATTAACCCGGGTTTGGGCGCAGGATTTTGCAGGATTCTGCAAGGCCTGACTGACCTGGGTCTGAATTGATCGGGGTTCAGAAGATCCCCGAGGGGAGCGTAATGATTCTTAAAATGCTTCAGCGCATTCAGCACCTTGAACTGCATGAGCCCGAGGCGACCCCTTCTCCATGACCACCGCACGCGTGGGGGAGCGACCATCGTGGATCTCGGCAGGCATTAAATTTGAGTAGATTCGGTCCCTCGGGATCGGAAACTGGAGCATGTACATTACCAGTGGCGGGGTGCTTATCCATCTAAGGACTTTTCGAGGGTCGGGGACGACGTCGGGTTGGTGTGTTGTATACTTGTTGTTTCCATTTCCCGAGGAAAACGAAACATGTATACACCAGGATCCCGTATACACCAGGATCCGTTTTCCTGTGCAAAGTTCAGTGCAGGGCCAGAAAAACGCGGCGGAGGCAAACCAAATCCATGTCCACCGGCTGCCGGGGTCTCCGTGGATGGGAGGCCAGGCCATTGTGGAGTTTGCGTTCTGCCACCCGAGACTTGGGCGGTCTCACGCCTCATGCTCCGCATCGTCTTCTGCCTCCTCATTCTTCTTCCCCTTCCTCCAGCACCGTGACACGGATGAGGTTACGGTACCATGACAGTTTGAGGGTATCGTAGAGGACAGCCACTGGACAGGAAACATATTAACCCCATGGTCCTTGGAGTTCCAGCCCATAGCCAAAAGACGTGGGATTGGACAATCGAGGACCATGCTCGGGTGGGGGGCTCTCTCTATGTCCCGTTATTGGTTTCTCGTTCTCTCTCTCTCTCTCTCTCTCTCTCTCTCTCTTACCTTTCAGCTCGCCTCACAGAAGATCCCCTCGGCAAGGGTGTTCGTAGGACGGACTCCTTACGACCGATTCCGTCAAGAAGGATTCGGAAATTTTTAGTGAGGAGTTCTTCGGCAGGAGGACATGGGTTGGAGGCCTAGCTGCTCTCACACAGCACACGCAACACATGTTTTCGTTCGCTCTCTCCTTCTCCCCAGTCGTCCTCTCGCTCTCTCTTGCTCCCTCTCCCCGCCTATCTCCCTCTCGCTTTCTCTCTCTCTCTCTCTCCTTCCTGTTTTTTTTTTTTTTTTTTTTTTTTCTCTCTCTCTCTCTTTCTATATTTCTATGTCTCTCTCTCTCTCTGTATTGTGTCCTCTCTCTCTCTCTCGTTCTCCCTCAAGTGTTCCCTCTATCTTTCTCAATTCTATATGTCTCTCTCTCTCTCTCTCGCTCTCTCTCCCTCTCTCCTTCTCTGTTTGTCTCTCTCTCTCTCTCTCTCTTTCTCTCCTTTATCTCTCTCTATATCTATCCCTTATTCCCGCAACGCCCAGCCACTGAAACTCCGATGGGACGCCATGCGAGCTCCGCTGGGGCCATTGCTAGAACTTCTTCTTTATGATGCCTGTAGTAAGGGCCCGTAGGAACCATTCCTTTCAGTACGAGTTCTTGTGTATGGATTTGTTCTTAGCCCACATGGATGTACAAGGATGCCTACATCAATGGACCCTGAAGGGAGGTTCCCTTAAGTGGGGGGCTTTTACTGTGGGTGCCTTTGGTAAGCATTCGTCAGCAAGGATTCCGTCAGCCAGGTGTCTTCTGTACAGACCCTTGCAGTAGTGAGGAATACGTAGTGGGGGTGTCTCTGATGAGAAGGATCCCCTCAATGATGATCCGTGTAGTAAGGATTCATTGCCGCCTTCAGTCATGGGGCCCGTCGTAAGGATGCGTGTAGTGTGGTACCCTTAGTTTGGGTACCTTTTTCGGAGGTGTTTACGTGTCCCTGCGGTAGCGATTCCTTATTGCTACCCCTTTCAGCAGGGATTCCTTGATACGGGCGCCTTCAATTTCACACGCGCTCATTTGTATTTGGCTTGCCTTACCAAGGGGCCCTTAGCACGGATGTCGTTAGTTAGGGAGCCCATCGTGTGGACGCATGCGTTAAGATTTTGCTCGCATGGGGCCTTTACCACCGAGCCCGTATTACAGGATCTCGTTTGATGGATTCTTAGTGGGGGTGTTTGTAGTACGGAATCATTCGGCAAGGACTTCTGTAGTAAGGGGTCACGGTTCATGGTTTGTTCAAGCCAGGATGAGTTGAGTAAGGATGTTCACACGTGACGGTATTTAGGGTTGTTCGTGTTGTGTGCGTCTATCAGTAATGCCTTTATTCAGTGAGGACGATTTGCCCTTGTAGTACAGATTCCTTGTTACGTCCTTTAGCACGGGCTCCTTAAGCAGGACGCCGTCAGCAAGGACTTCGGAGTAAGGTGCCCGCCACTGAAGAGTCTTTAGGGATAAGTATGAGGGGGGCCAGGCTGCTTCCCCACACCATCCACAACGCAGCGAGGGCCATTCGAAGGAGGAGATGGTTACCCTCTCTCCTTCTCTTTGTCTCTCTTCCCCTCCCCCTCTTGCGCACGCAGGATCCAGCCAACGAAATCCCAATGGGACGCCATGCGAACGCCTCCAATGAGGCAGTTTCCATAGATCTTCGACAGGTCTCTGTGTAGCAAGGGGTTTGGGTACGCATTATTTCTAGCCCGTGCTTCTTCGTAAGGACCAGCTTAAGACACATCACTTCGCACGGATTCCTCAATCAAGGAAACATGAGGAAGGGCTTTGCGGGATTTTTGGGTACGCGCTTGTCAGTAAGGGTGCCGACCAAGGGATCCTTAGTAGGGCCCCGCTGCGTGAGG